TAGAAAATTGGAGATAATTATTATTAAATTCAAGGAAATATTCAAGGATCATAAGATTCAGATTGACTTAATTATAAAATACATAAATGTTCAATCAATTTTAATAAACTCAATTTTTTATTCGTTATCTTCTAAAATAATGACTTTTTTTTTTTTCACTTCTGATTAATGTAATTTATAAGAGATCCAAGATAATTATTAAACTTCATCTTTTTTGTAAATTGTTTTTTCTTCTTCTTTTAAAAATGCCATTCTATCATCTAATAAAACAGGTCTATGTGTTTCTGGTTCCCAATGTAAATTAATATCAAAAGTACATGAAATATTATTTCTTAATAACTAAATTAATCATTATGATTACATATTATTTTGTATCAAATATTCCTGTGCATATAGGTTTGTTATTTACAAAGCTCTCAATTAGTTTTCTCATACTTTTTAATTTTAATCCTCTAGTTCTAAAAAGTGCTAGATTATTTTAATATTTTTCATCATATCTACATAATTGATCTTTTAATTATAGAGATTCTTTAATTTCCTCCTTAAATATAAGAAATAAATTCAAATAATACTTTAATACATCTTGCTTAGTTTCAAATAAATGAATATAATACATTTTTTTTGAAACATTTGAGTAAACATACATATCTATTCTAATACCCTTTGAATTTATAGGTAGAAGAGAAACGACATATTTTTATTCTGCTTTATCTAACTCAATACCTAAATAAAATTTCCTCCAAATAATTTGATTTAATTCTTAATTCATAAGTATTTTTAATATTAATCACATTACATTATCTACTTTCAATTAGTTGTTTTGCTTTTTCATCATCAATCTATTTAATAATAAATAATTATATTTACATTTTCAAATCAATAGTATTCATTAATAATAACATAACTCTTAATAGTAACATAGTTCTTAATAATGACAAATCAATCTTTCTTACTTTTTTTCATTCACACTTTCAAACTATTCAAATTTATTCTTTTTTTTATATTTATATTAAGAATATATTACGAAAATTTGAAACAAATTTATTTAATGTACAATTAATATATATAAAAAAAACTCAAGTTCATTCAATTTTCCATTCATTAGACAAATCAAAGTCTAACTATGAACTCTCATCTACATACCAATAAGGAAAATTAGTTAAGACTGCTTACTCAGAATTCTATTACTAAGTAATTTGATCTTAAATTTAAATAATTTACTATTATTATTGAGGAATCTCAACATTACCTTTACTCAATTATTTTTACTTTTACTTTTATTAATTAAAATACAACAAAGACTATTTCATAACAAATCGAATAATTCTTTTTTTCTAAGAATTTCTCTTTGTTTCTGGAATAAATTTACTTAATGAATTCATATCATTATAATTAAAATATTCTCTAGTCTTTATTAACAATTTAATATCTTTCTTTATGGCTTGCTCTGATAAACTTGGAGTACCCTCCAAACGCATATCAACAAAATCATAGATTAAAGTTAAGACTTTGTTCTTAAAATTGTCGTATATGTGTTCCTTTGCTTTCTTAAATGAAGCAATTGTTTATCTAGCAATGCCATATTTCTTAGATAATTCTTTAATACTATTAAATTAAAGTTCTTATAATATTTAAAATTTTAATTCGGATTTTATTTTTTTATATTCCCCCCTTTATTTAATTGTTTTAATATTTTGAATATCAATACTCATTAATTATTTTATAACCTTTACAAACTACTTTTTTACATCTAATTCTATCAACAAAAATTCGTTCATTTTTATAATATAAATATATATATATATATAAATTCTTTTATTATCTCAAACTTTATTCACCTTTATTCTATTACTTTTCATCCTATAAAAAATAGATTTGTTAGCATTTTATTACAACAACATGAAGGGTGATTCAAAAACCCACCATTAATTATTCATCAGTGCCCTATTAAAAATTTCTGGCAATTATGACTTAGTGCTAAATGTATACAATATCAGTCCTTTATCATTCATGATTATCATCCAACCAAAAGCTGCTGTTTTATAAATTTATCAGTCAGAGAAAGGAATTTAAAATAATATAGATGTTTATGTCTTGTCATATAAAAAAGTTATAGTACAAGAGTAATTAAAGTATGAAAAAGGACTACTCTTATTGTTGATTGTTAATCATGACGAACATCAAAATTGTATAGATAATATTTAATTCTTTATACAACTTTTATATTAATTAAGTAAGTGATAAAATTTATCAATATTCTTGTTTATTCTTGTGAGTCTAACATATTTAAAATTAAACATTATTAATCATTTTATAATATATGGATAATTTATGCACAGTTTGTATAAATTAAAAGGCAGTTAATAAGGATTTCGAATGTAAATCTTACAGATGCGATGAAAACTGTAAAAAAGGTATTTTAGAGCCTTGTTAAACTTGTAACAAAAAGTTATCAGGGTAATATTAGCAATAAAATAAAAAAAAAGTTGACGATTTGTTAAAAATTTGTCAGAGGAGCATCTCTTTTATCCATAATTAGTAGATTTATATGAAGCAATTTATTGAGCATTAAATAGGAGAATTGATCAATTTACTACAAGAGAAATAGAATTCACTATAGAGCAATCTAACTGAGATTTTATAAAAGAAATTGGATTTTTATTAAGAATGTGAATCAAGACTTAATATTATGAAGAAAAACAGTGATTTCAATAAGTTAAAACAGTTGCCTTTTTCGTAGTTAGAGTAATATGAAGACGATAAAATTATGGATTTTGGAAATATTAAAATTTTAACAGAAGAGATTAAGAATTTTGGAAAAAGAGTTACTAGAAAAAATAATCAAAGTGTTAATCTGCTAAGCAATATGAAAAAAATTCCTAATAATGAGAATAAAGAAAACTAAAAGGATTCATATGAGAAAATTAATCCTTCAAATATGTTTATTTCATTTTTGCCACCATTAGACGATGCAACATTAATTTACAGATTAGGTTAAAAATATCAAATGCCCAAATAAAATAAGGTATTAGGATTCATCTACACAACCAATTCATGCAAATTCGGTTTTCACTATAATGTAGATTATCCAACTACTGGTTATAATAATTGTAAAGATTGCTACATCTTCTCATTAGAGAATGTTTATAGAATTCCAGTATTTATTGATTATAAATTTTAGCCTATGAAATTTTATCCAAAAGAAGAATGTACTAGGTATTCTTTATTTCTAAATCACNAAAAATTCGTTCATTTTTATAATATAAATATATATATATATATAAATTCTTTTATTATCTCAAACTTTATTCACCTTTATTCTATTACTTTTCATCCTATAAAAAATAGATTTGTTAGCATTTTATTACAACAACATGAAGGGTGATTCAAAAACCCACCATTAATTATTCATCAGTGCCCTATTAAAAATTTCTGGCAATTATGACTTAGTGCTAAATGTATACAATATCAGTCCTTTATCATTCATGATTATCATCCAACCAAAAGCTGCTGTTTTATAAATTTATCAGTCAGAGAAAGGAATTTAAAATAATATAGATGTTTATGTCTTGTCATATAAAAAAGTTATAGTACAAGAGTAATTAAAGTATGAAAAAGGACTACTCTTATTGTTGATTGTTAATCATGACGAACATCAAAATTGTATAGATAATATTTAATTCTTTATACAACTTTTATATTAATTAAGTAAGTGATAAAATTTATCAATATTCTTGTTTATTCTTGTGAGTCTAACATATTTAAAATTAAACATTATTAATCATTTTATAATATATGGATAATTTATGCACAGTTTGTATAAATTAAAAGGCAGTTAATAAGGATTTCGAATGTAAATCTTACAGATGCGATGAAAACTGTAAAAAAGGTATTTTAGAGCCTTGTTAAACTTGTAACAAAAAGTTATCAGGGTAATATTAGCAATAAAATAAAAAAAAAGTTGACGATTTGTTAAAAATTTGTCAGAGGAGCATCTCTTTTATCCATAATTAGTAGATTTATATGAAGCAATTTATTGAGCATTAAATAGGAGAATTGATCAATTTACTACAAGAGAAATAGAATTCACTATAGAGCAATCTAACTGAGATTTTATAAAAGAAATTGGATTTTTATTAAGAATGTGAATCAAGACTTAATATTATGAAGAAAAACAGTGATTTCAATAAGTTAAAACAGTTGCCTTTTTCGTAGTTAGAGTAATATGAAGACGATAAAATTATGGATTTTGGAAATATTAAAATTTTAACAGAAGAGATTAAGAATTTTGGAAAAAGAGTTACTAGAAAAAATAATCAAAGTGTTAATCTGCTAAGCAATATGAAAAAAATTCCTAATAATGAGAATAAAGAAAACTAAAAGGATTCATATGAGAAAATTAATCCTTCAAATATGTTTATTTCATTTTTGCCACCATTAGACGATGCAACATTAATTTACAGATTAGGTTAAAAATATCAAATGCCCAAATAAAATAAGGTATTAGGATTCATCTACACAACCAATTCATGCAAATTCGGTTTTCACTATAATGTAGATTATCCAACTACTGGTTATAATAATTGTAAAGATTGCTACATCTTCTCATTAGAGAATGTTTATAGAATTCCAGTATTTATTGATTATAAATTTTAGCCTATGAAATTTTATCCAAAAGAAGAATGTACTAGGTATTCTTTATTTCTAAATCACTCTAAGATTGGATTTGGTAAGGATTGCAAAGATTTGTTGATAGATTTTGAAAATATCAAAAATTCTTCTTCTAACCTAGGTTATTCATATGATGTTTATTCAGAGCTTGATAATGAATGTATTCTAGCGGGTCGAGGAACAAATTGGAATATTGAGATGATAGAAATATTTGAATTGAAATGAATTTATTATTTACTTTTAACTTGCATCATAATTATAATATAATAATATAGAGAAACAATAATAGCAATGAAAATTACTTAATCTGTAAGTATATTTATGTAATATCATTTTTTCTATCCTCCAGGAGGGGTTCTAGGAATTTTAGGCTTTGAAACAAATTCTTGTATATCATTATAATTAATGTTTTATTGTCCTTGTCCTTAAATTGATTGCTTTTATTGATTGTGATGTTATTGAGCTTTTTGATTATATTTTTTATCGTTTGTGTCATTATAGAATGGGATTTCTAATAATAAATATTTATAGTTTACATCCAACTGGCATTCTTTCTAATTAAGACTCTCTAATCTATTCTTGTCTCTGCTGAACTTCTTTTAAAATAATAGAATCCATGACTAATTTTTGATTTTCTGCCTCGTCTCCAACTAATTCAAAGTCTTTTTATAACAATTCTTCTCCAACTATATTATCTTAATTATTGAGATCATCTTCTTCATCATCATCTCCTATACACTCCTCTTCTTCATCTTCTAGATCATCAACATCGTTTTCCTCTTCCATTTACGATTAGTCATAATCATCCTCATCAGCGCTTAACTAGGCAATCATATATTGAATTTGTTTCTTGAATTTTTCATCCGAATTTTCCAAAAGTCTTGGTAATTCTTCTGGAATTTGTAGGCTGTATGCATAATCTCTGATAATCTTTCTGCTGAACAATGAGTAAAATGTTCCATTAGTAAAGGTTTTAATTTAATCATTCGGATAATCAATAAGTTCGTATAGAACTTCAAAAGCTAGTTCTTTATGTTTAGTTAGCTCGTCTTTTCCTCTAGAACTTAAAGATAGATTCATAATCAACGCAGTAATGTATTCATAAGTATATTCACTGAGGTTATTTCGTTCCTAAAATAATGTGAAATTGTTACATTTTTAAGAATTATCAATGTATAATAAATGATGTTGTTTTCAAGCATGAAGGTTTAACTTTGTTTTCTCAATGACATTTTTTAAAGGGCACCAATAGCATTCTTTCTAATTAGACTATCAGATTATTCTTTTTTAATTAGATCGACTAAAAACTTAATAAGTGTTGGATTCAAAGTTAAATATGATCGTCCATGATAATCCGATGCTAAGGCATTTAATAGTTTTAAGGTTTAACATTAAACTAAGGGGTGAGATTTTAAAATTAAATATTAAGCTAACAATATATTTTTAGAGTGTGTTCCTATGATATCATGAGTTGCATAAGCCACAACCACTTATCTTCTTTATAGAGCATTTTTTGCTCTTGTTATTCTCCATCTCAAAGCCTACAACACGTTTGCCACATGTTAATAATTGTTAGATTTTGTAAATAACTAAATTATTTTAGGATAATTCAAAGGTACATATTCTTCCATTTAATTGGATTTGATAGGTGTTGGTAATTCTATTTTAGATTAATGATATTACATTAATTATGAGCTATATTTGATATTTCTTATTCAGCCATGCTGGCCTTTTCAAATAGAGAAATATCTTATGATTTATTCACCAAATCTTCAAAATCTTGATTGAGGAATTTTTCATACTGGAGAAGCTTCTTTTTTAAATTTTAAATCTTCTATTGGTTTTGAATAGATTAATTGGTATCAACATATTTTTATAAATCTTTTGATACTACCATTAATTCTTTACAAAGAGAAAACCATTTTTATTATGCTTCAGTGAAATTTTTCTCAGCATGATTATTTAATTCTTAATATGCTTAAACTTATTGATTTAACTTCTATTTGATTTCAGTATTGTCACTTTGCAATTTTTAAATTTAATCATTTAATCTCTTAATCTCTTTTTATTGATCCTATTACTAATAATTGTTATGTTAAATTTGTTAATATTAATTTTGCTAATATTAATTTTCGTAATGTTAGACTAATTTCTATAGATGAGTGATTTATTCATTTTAAAATATTTAAGATGTGAAATCTTTTAAACGGTCTTTTAAGTCCTCAACCCATTAAGTTGTGAATAAATGTTGAAATGTTTAATGTTTTTAAGGCTATTGCACATATGGCAATGCATAAAAGGGAAGCACTTCATTTGTTTTTGATAAGTCTTCACCTATAATATGTAGGAATTAATTAATACCTTTTGAATCTAGATATTGTTTGAATGCATTGATTGACTATTTGTCTATTTACCCTTTCTTTGATAAGTACGGATGAATTGGATAAATTAGGAAGTAGATTTAAATATAAAACTCTAATTTCCACAAGTCATAATCTTATTTGTTGTTTTAAGGTAGATGCTAATTCCATAATCTCAAGAAACTATCTCTGTCTCCCTTATCGAAATATTAAAGCATTTAATATTCTTATTAATTACCAACTCTCTAATGATTGTATTAGGATTCATTTTCAAACTGCTCCAAAGTCTTTAAGTAGTTCTATTTTAGCAAGTAATCTTAAACTATGGTGCTCATTTTATCACTCATGTTGGTTTAGTATATAAAATTTTATTCGCTTTCTTAATACTTTTCTCCCTAACTGTTACTTTGATAATACCGATTATGATTGAACAGCTGATTCTGGTCTTTTTTATATCTAATCCTATTTACGAGGTTTGTTTAACCCAGAATCCACTTTCGCCCTTGCTTCTTGTCTTGATTATGGTTTCCTTTGATTCATAACTGATATTTTGTAATAATTTTTATATTTATACAATTTTATTCAAACGATGAAATTCCAGATTGTAGTGTAAACTTCTCTAAATTAATCCACCTTGTCTTACTTAATAAGTTCGGAAAACAATTTATAACTAGCCAAGTTACTAGAAATATCTTTTTCAATAGCTAAACTTAACTATCATTTTTACTATCAAAATTTTCTCCTTTAAAAATATAAGCATATATCAAAATAGTATATAATTCATTTATTATATGCTTTTTCCAAATAGGAGAAGAAAATTTCAAATACATCTCTGCTTTTTTAGTAAAAACAGAATTCCCTTTCGTTTCTGAAATCAATCTACTTCCTTTCAAAATCTAACATCTTTATTTTTTAATACTTTTTCGTATATATCCAATAACTTTTCTTCCTCCAATTAAAAACAAGGCTCCTGCGCATCTCTAACGATAATGTTCTTGTCATTGAAATGACCCAAATTGCTAATCATTATTGTGAACTTCATAAAATCAGGATCATTCATAGTAGCTACTGATTTGCTTAATTCATCATCCACTTAATCAATCATAGGAGTTTATTCCTTAGTCTTTTTTGAAGTTGATGGCTTGACGGTTCCAGTCTATCTAAATAAAATCCAAATTTATTACAGGTGGAACTCCATTATGTTTATTTTTTATATGAGTGTACAAAGCAGCATTTGTCCCATACTTTCTGCCACAATTTGGATCTCCGCATATGAAATCCTTTTCAATCTCCTCCTTCTTTCTTCTATGTTTTATTGCTGCTTCTTATTTTATTCCACTTCCAGATTATAATTATTATTCCTCTTCACTCATTATATTTTTATAACCAAAATATATAATTTACAAAATTTTAAAAACTAAATAATTATAGAATTTATTGTAATGTATTTATAACAATCCTAAAATATATACATATTAATCAGTAGATTATATCTCAATAGAAATATTAACTTTAGCTGTCGTAGTCAAATGCTTTGAATGGCTCAACTTGCTCTACAATTTAAGTGTTATTTTAACATTAAGTTTATAAATTGTATTAAATTTCCTCTTGACAACTTATAAAAACAGCTTCTTCAAAAATAGATGATTCATTAAAATAGTCCTTCTCATAGTATTGCTCACTCATTTCACCATCTTTTACAACATTTTTTCTTTTAAAAATCTCTAAGATTTCCTTTATTACCTTCTAATAGATTCTCTGTTTTTTAGAGTTCAATTTAGATTTAGGAAATAAACTAAATAAAGGATTATTTGAGGAATTCTCAAAAAACTTCTCATTACGCAAATAAGTTGTTATATATTTTTTCACTGGAAGTTCGCTTCTAAAACTATTTAAAGTCTCAAACATTCTGTCCACCCATCCTTATGCACTCTATAAAACAGCAGATAGAAATTGGCTGTAAATGGGTTCTTTAGATTTTGAGTATGAAAACACTGTTGATTTGGGCAAATTATATTCTTTTGCTATTTCAGAGATTTTTTTGATTTTTTTCCCTAATTAACCGATTATTAAACTTTTCTATTCCTTTGTGAGATTCTTGTTGTAATGCCTTCCCTTTCTTTATTTTTTAATAGAATTCATAATAATATTTAACTATAATTATAATTAATTGAATTAGAAAATAATAGGACTTAAATTTCATTAATAATTATATATTTAAATCTATATTAATAACCACAATAATATAATTCCATATTAAGTCAAATTCTATATTTTCTAAACCTTAAAAAAAATACATTTAAATTCCTTTAAAACTTATGCTTAGTTTGATTATTAATTTATTTAATGGTAGAGCAAACTTAATTAATCTTGGGATGCAATAGAATAATATGGTAAAGTAATGATCGAAAGGAAAAAATATATGAAATACGATAAGTTAAAAAAGATGCACATTTTCTAAAATTATATTGGACTAAAGGTCCAGGATATCGAACTTTGAAAAAGGGTAAATGGTATCGCTTTAAAAATTATAAAATTGTAAACAATATTTTACAACCTATTCCAAATGTTTATTTTGAATATAATGAGATCAAAAAACCTGATAAAAAAGAATTGAAGATTGAAGATATGAGGGAACCTTATTCAAACTTATTGGGGATAATTTAAGATGAAGGCGATGTGGATGAATTCTCGAGATAATACCCTTTTAGAGTTATCGAAATTTTGTTGCTAGATGGAAATACTGTGCAAGTATTATTAAAAAATAGATTTGCCACAGAAAGAAAAGAAAAATTTTAGACAGGTGAAATAATCTATATTTATGGATGTAGAAAGCATATACATCCTCAAAACCAAGAATTCTGGTATTCATCTTTGACAAATAATACTAAAATTAAATTTGATCTTTAAACTATTCGATAACATGTTAGCAAACATAATTTTGGAAGAATTCTTAAGCTTAAGACAGGGTTTAATGACTAAGATGAAGCAACTGGACAAGTATAATGAGTTATTCATTTAAATTACACTTTCTAAAATTTTTAATATTATTTTTTAATTCTATTAATTATTTATAATTTAAAATCAATAATTTTATTATAATTAGGTTTCGAAGTTCTAAAATTGTTATGATTTATCGTTTTATTTCTATTTAAGCATATTACTGCAGAATAGATAATATTATCAGTGTTATAGTTTCTTTGTATCATTAAATATGATTTGGATTTTTGATTCAATAGAATAAATACCAAACGTGAGGAACTAATTGTTCTCATTACTAAAATGAAAGACTCAAATTTATAATTTATTCTTCAATTATGAGAGAGATTCTTGCAAGGAGGGCACTTTAGCAAAAGAATTATCATTATCTTTGGAATAATGATATCAATCCCCCACTTAGTAAGTTCTTAATAATAAATTTAAATTGTATATTTTCGGATTGATGCATATTATGAACATAAGTAGTATCAATATTTTACCTTCAGTCATCAAAATTTGCTTTCCATTCTTCTAATTTGTTGATGTAATCTTCTGAAATTACTTGCTTGTACTTTCTAAGTACATTAAGAATGTCGCCCTAAATTCTAATTTATTCTTACATATTCAATAATATTATCTGCACATTCTGATTTGATTTATATGTTCTATTTATTGATATTCCAAGTTTAATCATAAGCCATCTATAGTATATTGGAGATATCACAACATGTGTAACCTTGAAATAGGTTGGTTAATTGATCTTATTATTGCAAAGTTAGCTTATGTTTCATATTTGATAGCTTTTCATTTAATAAATCCACAATTTGTTGACGATTCGGTAAAGGTATATAAATTCTTTTACTAAATCTAAATTTTTATATAAATTATTTTACCTTCTTCGGACTGGAGGATTTATATTCCATGGGTAACTTGAAATTCCAATGATTTAAAACTTGAAACTCTCTTAATGCCTTTATTTATCTAACTCTATTAATAATTCAACAAAGATGTTTAAATTAGTTCGATTACTATTTAAATTCTACTTTCCTATTTACTCTAGATCATAAATTAATAGAATTGATGGCTACATGCTTCTGGCAAAATCAAAAATTTAATGAATGCATCGTTATTCTATTAAGTATTTTTTACCAGAATTAGGAGCCTTTAATAATAAGAATGAAATACTCCATAAAGAAGTATGATATCATAATAATAACAACAATTTTGAAAAAATTGAGGAAACTTAAAAGGTAAAGCTATTTCTTTCATAGTGTTTTTAACTGATTCTAATTGCAATATATCTTTGTCTCCAACTTTGGGCTTCTATTTTACTTAAATGAAATCATTTTCAAAACTTAATCTTACAATCATATTAACAATAATTACTTTTTATCAGGATTACAAATTTAATATAACATTTCTAAATTATTCATTTATAAGAGTTCCTTGAAATTAATAAGTTAAGTATTATATTCTTCAATTTCTAAGTTTAATTCAGAATTAAGAACCTAATCATTTAGTTCTTACTAAAAATGGATAATTTATTCATAACCAAACTTCATTTTTTAATAAGCAGCAATCTTAGTCTCCATATCAAATCGAGATAAGAATTCCCTCTTGCCTAATAATTTATTTAAATATATCACCAGCTTACATCATTTCAAAAGCTTCTCCTAATTAATGTAATTCACTTGTATTCATTAAATATATTATATATTTAAATTATCAAAAAATATATATCATAGTTTCAATTTTATTCAGCTTAGTCAAACATGTTGAAGGGTTGAACATAAGTTTGTTGAGGAATTTCTTCTACTTGGTTTAATTAAGAAGTAGAATCCTCGAGATTTCTTCTTTGTTATGGATTTGTGTTTTGTATTAATTTTATACTTGTGACTCTTTAAATAAAAGTAGAATTCTAATTCTTTTTATTCTCAGGACTTGAATCTGTTTGTCTTTGCAACATTAATCTTGAGAACTCTTCCTCCGTAAATTCCAAACGACAATTTGGGCAACTTTTGCTCTTCTTAAACCTGAATTAATTTGATTCTTATTATTCAATGATGCATTTGTCATGAAAAATGTGATTGCAAGGGGTTTCTCTGATAGAATCACTTTCTTCATAATTTACTAGACATATACAACAAAATTCATTCAACATTTTGGTTTGTACCTTTTTAGTTGGCATATATTTATCTAACATCTCTAAACCAATTTCAGGAGCTTCTAAAGAAAGTACTTTTAATTATTTCCTAAATTAAACTGTCAAGTAAATTATGCTCATTGTTGCCAAAACTATTACTGCTATTATCACTAAGATTCCCCAAATAGGGAAGATGTTATCAGAAGCAATAATTTCATTTAGAGATAACTTTATTTCTGCCTCAGATGTTTGATTAAAATTATATAAACCAATTATTACAACCGATTCAACTTCATCTCCTTACTTTTTTAATGTAACTTAATAGGTGTATTCTTGAGGTATCAAACTGAAATAGGAATTAAAGGATGGTAATTAAGTTAAGCGAGAAATATTAGAAGGGACCAATGAAACACCAACATCTGATTTGCCATTTACTAATAATAACTAATTCAAAGGGAAAACATTACCTAGTATTCATTGTATTCAATTCTATAATAAAAATATAACCATTTATTCTAGGCTATTGTGATTTATGTATTTGGTATTTCCTCAGATCTTAGTTATTGTGTACAATTAGTAAAGTAATAAGGGAACTTACATTAAACTTACTTCTAAGGCGATTCAATCAAAGATAATGAGTAATTGAATTGTATAATGTCTTCTACTTAATAATTACATATTTTTTTGTATAAAACATTAATAGCAATTTCATCTGTTTCCTTGATATAAATATTTTAGAATTCGAGTTTCTAATGAAATGCATCTGCATCAAAAATTGTTAAATTTGTTTCATTATTTTTGCTTATCACAATTAATTATAAAGAGTACCTTTGATCTTTAGGAAACTTAGTAATTTATAACTTATCACATAAAAATTTGATTCATACCTATATTAGATAGAGATTTTCTTGTTTTAAAGTAACATTTAGATTGTTAATTTCTGTAATATAACTGTTGTTAAATAGAACGGATTCACACTTATAATAAGGTATTAATGTTGTTATTATCAATAAAATTAACATTATTATTATTCAATATAAAAAGAATCTCAAATTATTTATTGCTTATTTGACTCCTTATATACGTGTAGTTATTGAAAAATAATGTATATATAGTTTACTTTATACAATATTATTTTATATAAATTATTCAATGCTATTAAGCTAAATTGGGGTAATTTTCTTAAACGTGGCATTTTTAAGTCCCATATTGGGATAGTTTAAAGGATCATTCTCAAAGGTTTTATACATATTAATAGGAGCTCTTGAAATATACATCTATCTTACATGTAAACCAGTCAACTTTTATGAGGAATATAAAGTAATATAGCCTAAATTATATTAGATTACAAGGAAATTCGATTAGAGTGAATTAAGGTAGGCTTACAAGAGAATAATGCTTGATTATCATCCTGATCGTAATACACAAATAACATCAGAATAATTTAATTACTTGAAAAATATAAATGAAATACTAAAATCAGATGAGGCAAGATAATGTATAAGTTAATTGTATTTTAGAATATGATCAATTTGGGGTTGTAGTAGAGAGCAATATTAATCCATTACCTGCAATAACATATAGAATAAAATTAACAAGATTATTATTTTACATGATTTTATTTTTGATATAGCTTGTCAATACTTAAGACCATAAGGGCCAATAAAAATAATTAACAATTTTAGTTTTTGTATTAGGATATGGAGACTTTTTCCTAATTGAATAACCATAATATTTTTACAATTCTGGTTTCTTTACTTCATTAGCCTTATTTGAATTTTTGAATGTTTATAGAATAGTGGTTACCTTGATCATATCATGCATACTAGCAGAAATTAAAAATAAGCAAAAAATTAGAAATTATTAACTAAGAAATTTGAATCTAGGAACCATTAATGAACTAGTTTAAGAACATTAGGAATTTCTTTAAACTCAAAATTCTAAGAGATAAAAGATATTAAATGGATTTCTAATGGTGGCATTGACTTTATATTCGTTGACTATCTTTGTTGATTACCAGGCACTATTTTTGAAAGCTGTTAATTTCATATAAGAAAGAAGGTAGTAGGATTTGTGATATATTAATAAATTTATCTAAAGAATTATGTAATTTTTATGTTATATTCATATTTAAAACCTTTTGTGGTAATATTTTAGTGTAATTAAATTGGTTAATTAATAAACATAAATTACTAATATCTACATCAACTTTATTTAGTTCTATTGAGCAAGTCCTAAACTATAACATTATCAAAGTATTTAGATTTCTAATTAAGTTCTTTTTCAAACTTTTTTGTGTCTTCTTAATCTACATACATGTCATTCCTACAAATTTTAATTAAGATATTACAATTGTTTTGTTGTTGGCCTTTGCCCATACAGTAATTGTAATTCAGGAGGCAACAACTCAAGGTTTTTTTTAAAGAATGAATTTAATTCATTATTCGAAGGTGTTTCTTTTATTGGTTGATACGGTTCAAAAGAAGGATAATCTAAGAGTGAAAACAACTTCTATTTAAAGTCTGCAATTATATTAACATTTTTTATACCTTATCGATCCTCCAATATGAATTTTGATAATAAATTATACCTTTTTTCGAATGCTTTTTATATTTATTCTCTAATTTAATTTCCAATTGAAACAATATTTTCCTAACCTAATTTATTTTCATAACAATAAGTATATACAAATTCATCGATACTATTTTGTAGAAAAAAATACGTACTATTAAAAAGCATTGTCTAAATCCCATTATATAGTTTCAATGAATTTAGATGTTGATATCTATAAATTGATCATTGAATCGTTTTTATCAATATACGACTCAAAGACCAATATATCTGATATATGTTTCATTTTTTTATGATCGTCAATTGCTTATTTGATCTAGGATAGGCAGTCATCAACAATTTCTAATATATTTACAAAATGTTTACTTTGTGCTTCTGAAGCACTAAGTTATCCCACTTTGGTAGGGTATTTTTCTTCCAACAGATCTGTTACTATAGTAAAGAGATTTCTGAATAATTATTCATCTGAATAATCATCTTCAAAGTCCCATAAAATTAGTTCTTCCAAAATTGTCTCTTTGTTATTTAATGAAGCTATGGGTATCTGAAGCTTTATGGGACTCAGATTTTGAGATGAATTATGGAATCCTGGAGGAAATGGACACAATTTTATGTTGTTTTGAAATTTTTCATTATGAGTCTTAATTTTGTGAATTTTCTTTTTTATACAATCAAGTTATGTGATTGCTTCTGATAGTTAAGTGTCTTGCATTAAAACAAAAAATTAAAAATTAAATATATATTAAATCTTTTTATAATATCAATAATTTTAAGATTTCGCTTAAATGATTGAATAGTTTTGGTTTCAAAGTAATCATATCATTAAATATTTTTATTATTAAAATTTTTCTATCAAACAATTTCAAATTGGTTCTTTTGTTATTTCAAAAGGCATTCTTATCCATTTTCTCTTCTTTGCTTTAAAATTCCTGAATTAATATTCTTCGAATCATGTCAATGAGAACAATTCAATAACAAATATTAAATTAAATCTTCTTGAAATGTAAAACTGCATGTCTAGACAAAGAATTCAATCCATATGAATATTATTCTGAGTTGATTGGCACGTATTTAAACATCTAAAGAATAGGATTAACTTTACTCGTATTATGAGAGTTGACTTTTATAAGCTTATGATTTCTGAATTATTTGTGGATGATGCTCTCCTTACAGTTTATATCAAAAAATTAATACAAAAGGATTTATGATTATTGTATTAAATTAAATTATCAGTTAAATTATGTTTGAAAATAATAGTGTCAAATATGTTCCATCAGTGCCTAAAATTGTTGATCCTGAACCTATAACTTGTATAATAGAGCCAAGTATATAAAACAATTGAGAATTTTAGGCGAAGAGGAAGGGGGCTTATATTTAGGTAACTTGTAAGCAGCGAACAATATTGATCTATTAAGAAAATTGAAGATTCGAGCAGTTCTTACAGCAAGTCAGGAGACTGCAGTAAAATACTAAGAGCATGTTGTTCATTTTCATGAAATTATTATGGCTCATGATAAAGCAGATTACGATATCATTTAGCACTTTGAATAGGCTTATGAATTTATTGATAGACATAGGAAATACACAAATGTTTTTGTGCATTGTTTTGCAGGTATAAGCAGATCAGCATCTATGGTAACAGCCTATCTAATGAAAAAATATAATTTATCGTTCGAAAAAGCACTTTGGAATGTGAAGGCTAAAAGAAGATAAGTGCATCCAAATGTTGGATTTATTAGATAATTGTAAAAATATGAAACTGTCCTAAAAAATCAAGCTATTTCTAATGCTCCATCCAGAATTCAATATTAATAGTAATAATTCCCATAATATGGACTTATTCAATAATAAATTCAACAGCCAATCCAATAATCTATGTTGACACCATTCATTTAATAATCTATTCAATAACCATGGAATTAATCATAACGCTATGATGAATTAGTTTAATATTATTGATTATTATAAAGACTTAAAATCTATAACTATACTAATGAATAATATTAAAGTTGTTTCTTATATCACTTCATTTTTTAATAGATAAAAGAAATAGTTGGCATCACTTCTAAATACTTATACCTCAATTTATACTATAAATATTGGATTAGAGATTAAATAAAATTATAATATAAATGTAATATTTATAGAAAACCTCTTAATCTAAGGGACATTTAGTAAACCAAAGATAAAAATTTATAGATGACTCAATTCTAAATGAAAGTAATCATTTGGATAGCGAATCATTTTAAGAAAACCTAAAAACATTAATAAATTGTAAAGCTGAACTTACTCTATCAACTAAAGAATCCTGTAATTCAAACTCATTCACTTTAAGCAACAATAAAGTAATTTAATTTTTGATTTAGTTTAACTTTTTCACTAATGAAATTCTAGAATGGGAAACATTAGATAATGCTCTACCTCCTGAAGTTTATAATTTCCTTTCAATATTAAAATGTTAGTGTTACGCTGGTACAATAACATATACAGATGAATAAATAGAACTTTTGATCAATCAGAGCTAAATATATGTGTATTTGATTAAAATAAAAATAGTAAAAATTTACTGGAATTTTTAAACTAAATCTTAGATAAAGGATGGATTCTCAAAACAATAAGAATCTTGAACGGGTCTACAATTAATTTCTATGCATTAGCAGTAAAAAATCTGACTTTCGAAAATTTATTTTGGATTATAAAATCATTAAAAAAGGATTTAATCACTCCAACCGAGAGATTGGTTTAAAGTAGAATCAAAGAATGCTATGGATTTAAATATAAAAGGAATGAATGGGACTTAATAATTAATTAAATTAAATCAGAAAAATAAATTATATAGTTTAGATCCTCATAAGGGAAGCTATTTGTATTACCAATGATTTAAGTGATCTTAATTAAAGATCCTTTTATTTAAGAAGAAACATAAGGAATCTATATTAAACATTAAAATTGGAAAGCCGAAGATGAGTTTTAAGAAGCTTTATATTAAGAATAAGAATGGAATATTTTTATTGAGTACTTGTAAAGCATAATTGACAATTAGAATGATTAAAATCATAAATTCTTTAAAGATGGCGGATATGGATGCGCTTAATTCATAAAGCACTTTGGTCCAAAGAATTTAAGAAAGTTATCCTTAGGTAGATTAACAATATATATGCAAATGGCTATTAATAAAAACTATATTAGAAATACGAAAAAGGTTCTAGTTTAAAATAACAGAGAGAAATCAGAATATGCAACTGATAGTTCCTAAGATCAGGAGGAAAATATTAAAATGAAAATCGAGGAACTTAAAGAATAACTTATTCAGCTATTGTTAGAAAATCAGGATGGGTATGCAATCATCTTTTATTAAGAGTGTATCTTTTACTTAAATACCTAAATTATTAAAGAAAAGAGTAAATTTCAAAATAAATTTATTTGAGCTCGGATTCCCAAATTTAAGAAACTTTATAGAGTCAAACTAGGATATGATATCAATTGAAAAAAATAGCAAAAATAATGTTATTGCTAAGTTGGACCAGATAAAGTATTGGAATAAATATTAAAGTACATAATACAAGTTTATCTTAGATAAAATAGGGGGCGATTTGAGTAATTAGGCAATTAGTTCTAATATTCTAGAATTGTTAAAGAACATATTAAGTAAACATCAATATGGGATAAGTATTAATTAGTTATACTACGATTTATCGCAATTGTTAGGTGAATGGTTCAATTTTAGAAAATTTTAATGTTTAAGTTTCTTTTAGTTTTTGTAGAATTACGCAGAAAATATCTTAATTATAGTATGCCAAAAGGGAAACCAATATCTAATTTATGAAAAGGATCTTAGATTCATGCCTTCTCCAACCTCTAATTAAGATAACAATGATTAATAATCTGATCATAATTTTAGCGAAGAATACTAAAGTAATTTAGGATTGTCACTTCAATAAACTAGTTTCTCTAATAGTTGGTTGGAAAAAGCTGGTGATTCTTAGCTCAAATTTTAGTCTCTTCAACTTATTGAAGATTCTCACTAAGAAATTAAGGAGAATTTAAAGTTTATAGATGAAATTTTAGGTTTATAGATATTTTAACTATAAGGGTACGAACTAAAGCAAAATGATACCTACTCTATATAAGATTGGTCAGATAAATCGATGAATTATTTTGAAATGTTAAGTTCTATTAATTATGGGCATAGCGAAAAACCAGCTTATTTTGATTTAACTAAAGAACTACAAAACTCTCTCTCCTAAAAATAACAAATACAAAAACAATTTATTCAATTAAACGAAAGTAAAAAAAAATGAATATACTCTTTGTTTTTAGTTTAATTTTATGTGAATTATTTATTGATAAATTTATAATAAATCAAATAATTTCATCAATTATGGATCTGATTTGATGCGAGATACTCAATTCATTAGTATGAAATAGAATTTGACTTCATAAATTAGTTGTGAATGCATTCCAAAATTCATACCATAAGTTTTAAGTATTTTAAATAGTTAATAAAACAGGATGAGTCTCTAGGGAAATTTGAGTCAATTTTACATTTCCATTAAGAATTTACTCATTATCATTTATTAAACAACCTAAGACTCATTTTTATTTGCTTAATTGATTTTTCATTAATTAATGTTTGATAAAAAAAAATTTCTAATTAGTTCAATATCAATAACATTGCTAATATTTACGATATTTCACAATGTTGAAAATGTTATTCAGACAAGAAGATTTTTATCAGAAGATGAAGCATCTAATGATCAATCTGAAGAAAAAAGCGAGGATGAACACAAAAATATAAAAAGAACATACTCACCATCGGAGATTGACTTCTGGATTTGTTTATTTATAGCTGCAAGTTTACATATATATCACAATATTAGCTTTAATCTGTTTGGCAGCCATCTGCTCTGGGATGACTGTTGGTTATTTATCAGTAGATGAATTATAATTAGAAATATATAAAGAATAAGGAACACTTGAATAATAAAGGTAAGCAAATATTATTTTGCCAATTATTAAATAACATCATATGCTTCTTTGCACATTACTCATAGGAAATTCATTTTGTATGGAATCGCTTCCTATATTTTTTGATAAAGTTGTACCTCCAGCATTTGCCGTACTAATATCAGTCATCTTTATAATCTTTGCTGGAGAAATCATACCTTAAGCTCTTTGCACTGGTCCAAAATAATTAATTATTGCTGAAAAACTCACACCCTTAGTTAAAATTTTAATGATTTTCTTCTGGCCAATCAGCTACCCTTTGGCTAAAATGTTAGATTCCTATTTTGGAGAGCATGGGTCTACTAGATTTTAAAAGAATGAACTAAAAGCTTTAATAGAGTTACATGGAATTCAAAAACATGCTACTGGGGGAGGTCATGCAAGTGAAGATTAAGGATTCACGTAAGCAGAAATAAACATGATAACATCCACTATTGATTTGAGGGATAAAACTGTTGAATAAGCCATGATCCCGATTAAAGATGTTTTCTCTGTTAACAAAAATAATGAACTTAATAGAGAAACTTTGGCAAGAATATCATCCTCTGGTTATTCTTATGTCACCATCTATGAAAATTATAAGGAAAACATTATTGGCACCATTAGATCGAAATAATTAATTGATATGGAATTAACCAAGAGAAAGATATCTGAATTAGATAATCTTGTTAGACCTGTTCTATTTATATAAAATGAAACTTCTTTATTCGAGATGTTAATGATTTTTAAATAAAAAAAAACTAAAATAGCTTTTGTAGTTGAAGCTAATAGAATTGAATAAACTAATACTTCAAGAATTCCTAATTACTAAATTGTTGATGAGAAAACGTAAAAAAAAATCATAGGATTGATCTCCTTAAAAATGTTATTTGAAGAAATTGTCAAGAAGGAGTTTCATGATCAAGATAACCACATCAAGATTATTTCAGTAACATAATTTTATATTCTTAGTTAAAACCTCCTTAAATTTAACCAATTGGCAGATCATAAAACAAAATTTTAATAGAACCTGAGGAGAAAAAATGAAATATTACATATCAATAATTTTAGATAATAATTTTTATTTTTCAATAACATTTATTGTTATTTCATATTAAATCGCGTATTAATTCAAGGATTTTTAAGGCTGTTTCCATTTCATAATGTTCTTAAAAATATTATTGAATATCTAATAATACTTTTGAATTGACTTCTTCAAATTATTTTGCCAAATCGCAACCTAATGAATATTTAATATAAAATTTATATAGCAATTCAATAATTTCACCTTTGGATAAATCTTCAACTTCAAATTTATAATCTTTAAGTTTTTCATATTTAATCTAAGTTAAACTTGAAAAACAATTGTGAATTACTTTTTCAAAAATCTCAAAGGATGCATTTGCTTTCATTCTATCTGGTTCTATAGAAGTTAAAAATTCATTATATGATTGTTTTGTAATTCCACTTATTAAATAAGTATTTTATAATTTGTCTCCATAGAAATTTTAGAATTATTTCACAAAATTAGGTTAAAAATGAGACAAAATATAATATTTCAATAATTCTAGTGCTTTAAGATTTTCAATTTATTCTTATTTTTAATTTTAATTTTCATCTAAAATGTTTTCATCAAATTTAATCTTATGTTTTAATAACTCTTCTAAATAAACAAGTAATTCTTTTTCACAAAGATATCTTTATTTATTAAATTTATTATAATTTTCAATTTCATTAACTTTCATTATTTAATTCTTAATATCTATATATTCCGTTATGAATTTATCAAGTATATCATTTAATTACTTAAATGGTTTTACATCATTGATTTTTTTTACTTTTTTTATTTCTTCTATAATTTTAGTAAAACTATTATCTTAATATAGTTCTAAAAATTGATAAATAATTTTTAAAATTTCTTTTACATCATTTGTTAATTCTATGTTTGGATTACAAGGATCCGAAACTATTAAATATTAAACAAAATAGATGTTATCAATTTAAATAAGTTATTGATAAGTCGTAAATTTATTGGATTCTGGTTTTAATTGAATAAAAATATTGTTTGTATTCAATTATGAATGGCATAATTTTTTTTCACCCATTTTAATTAAATGCTGAATAATAGCTTAAATAATTAAAATGACTTGTCCTTTATAGATAACTACATAATTCGATTTCTAAATTATCACATATAAATTACTATTGCATCCATTAAATCATTCAAAGAAATACATTCATTATAAGGAATTTTGTATAAGATGAATTCATTATCTTCTAATTTTTTTCCAACTAAATAAGGATTGTTTTCTAAATTCTTTATTTATTCTAATTGTCTATCATCGCATTTAACTCTTTGACAAACAAATTTATAATTCTACCATCCTTTCATTCTATTATTATTATTATTAATAACAATTTATTCTTATAGAATTATGTTTTATTAAGAATGACTGATAAAATCTATTTATTACTTTAGATTATTTCTAAATTTATTAATTCACATTGCAATTGGACATGAATTGTTTCGATTCAATTAGTTACATCAATTTAACTTTGATATATATTAGTTAAATTATGGTATATGCTGATATCAAATATTAAATAGTGTTATTATCAGAAATAGACCTTGATCAGAATTAATATCAGAATAATTTTTTTACAATAAGATTATAAAAGTTAAGTTCTACTTTATTGGAAGATTTAATTATTTTTGCTAACTATTACAAATCTAAATTCTTTTATTAAATAACTTTAATTATTATTTGCATGTGTAAATCAGCTCTCTATCATTAAAATAAAGGAATGATTTACATAAAACAAAGAATTTTGTAATGATCAAAAATTATTATGCATATACTGTATATATTATAATTTATAATTGATAATATAGTGATATTATACTTGTTATATCGATCTCAGTTTTATATTTGAAGCCTTATGAATAATAAGCATTTTGTAATAATGAATTTATTAAACATATTAGGGTCGCATTCAAATTGTAGATCAATCTCATTTAAAGGATTGTGATTCAAAAGATTTCTTCTTACTCATTTTGTTCCGACAATTAATTTTAATTATATATTTTTTGCTTTTAAAATAAAATTACCAAGTTTGTTGCTAATTGTATGCTGCGGTTTAGTAGATTTAACGATTCAGATTATATATATAAATTTTTTAAGCATTTTCTTATTATTAATTTTAATTCCTTCAACTCAAATTTTTAATCTTTACTTAATTTATATAAAATGATAATTAATAACTCTTATCATCAGTACTAAATTCATAAGTATTTGATTAGTAAATATTTAAATAAAAACCAAATAAATATCATTTTACAACAAGATCAAAATAGAAAGCATGAACAACTATCAGCAACATCTTATTCTTAAATAACATTATAATCTTTCCAATTATCGACTATGTTAATGTCAATTAACCCAATATTAGGAATGACTTCATCTCTAAAACTAACTTAATGATTCTTATCCTTTTTAATTATTTCATGACGAAACATATCAATTCTTGGTTTTTATTAATTGTGTTTTACATATTTTTCCGATATCATCTATCCAAACATTTCATTCAGCTCTTCCATCTCAGTCCAACTATCTCCATTACATTAAGAGACTTGAATCATTATAAGTTAACCTTTGTATTATTAAATAATTATTAAACGATATCACTTATATAAATATTAATTCTAAGATGATTTTAAATTTCTTATTATTTCTTCTCTTTTCTTGCATATTTTTAATTATTAATTAAAAATCTATTCAATAGTTTGATATATTCTAGACTATAATATAAAATTAAATGGATTGGCTTTTATGAAAAAATGATTGCTAATTTTTCAAAGCATCAATCACTTTGATTTTATATAGTATTTATAAAATTCTTTGTGTCCTGTCATTTTATATACTTGTTTCTACTGTAGTTATAAAGTTTTCAATAATATTGTCATCAAATTATAGTTTAACTATTAAAATAATGATTAACATTAAAAAAATAGTAAGCTTTAAAAACTAGGTCAAACTTTTTAAAACAGAAAAAAAGATGAAGGGTTTAGCGAAAGGGATATAAAAATAAAATAGAAAGTATTTTTAAGATTGAAAGTAAACAACTATATTAGTTATTTATCAATAAATAGAAATATTTAAATAAAAATATTAGTTTTATATATAATCTTTGACAAAATTTATTATGAATTGTGCATTTTAATAAAATAAACTTTGAATGAGTTTATCTGATAACATATTGGGTATTAACCAAATATTGCTCTTGTAGTTAAGATGTATATAGAACATATTATCACTCTGATTAACTTAATTTTATGTGAGGTTGATAAACTCATCATATTAGATCATATAAACTTATTCAAGTTTATAAAGTTTATTATTTAGTTATTTATTCTGTTGTTGATGGGAACTTTTTGTTTATTTCAATATTATATTGTCATGTTAATCAAAATAATTCGTTGTGATTTAACAATGTGACTAGTTAATCATAACGCTAGCAAAGAATATGTAGATCTATATTTTTTTTATTTTAATTTAATAATAGATTAATACTTTTAAGTCCAAGAAAATAACCTTTGATTTGAATAGTTTGTTTAAAAATTAAAAATAACTAAAATTCATAGTAGATGAAGATTGCATTGATTTTTTAATTTCAACAATCCTTCTAATATTGACATATCTCAAGGATTAAAAAAGCTCTATATCTAGAGCTGTAAGATTAAATTATGATTTTTCATTAACTTCTTTAGCAAATTTTAACTATTTTTCTGATCGTGTAATAATTTTATTATAAACAATCAGTAGATAATAGTTTTATTATCATAACCTTATTATTTTATTTCGACAGAATGAATTTCATTTTTCAATCTGTTTTCTTTAATCTTTTCTTATATTAATAATAATATGAAATAATTCAGAAATGGTAATAGAAATTATATTAATCTATTATTTTGATCATAACAATTTTTTTTAATCAATTAGCTTTCAATTTTGTAAATTAAAATTAGTTTGTCCAATTAGTTAATAAAGTTTATGATTATTTTTATTAATGATGCCTAGCTTAGTTTGCAGATGAAAAATTATTTTACTTTGTTGGAGAGATAATTTTGAAATTTTAAGAATATTTAGTCTACATTTAAAAAGAATCATTAAATTTATAATACATTATTAGCTATTAATAAACTTTAATAGATTAAATTATTAAAGTACAAATTGATGTTTGAAATGAAATTGTTTTTAAATTAAAATAACTAATCTCATTACGACTTATAATAAAGATTAATTCTCCAAAAATAACCTTTAATTAATTTATATCATTGGTTTAAATGAATATATCTCAATACTATTGTGATTCAAATATCTTTGTAAATAGGGTACTCAATTTTTATAAAAACACCTCAATATCTTAATTCAGATCAATAGATTTGCTTGTAATAAATTCATCAGTAATTGTATTTTACCACTGTAGAAGAAGTTCTTATGGAAACTATTCATTTTAATGTTTTGGATAATTATAGCAGCGGGCTAATTGATCTATTTTTGCTATAATTTGATTTTGTGATGAATTTTTGAAATTTTGTATAAAAAATTTAAGCATGTATTCGTAAAGTTCTCCCCCCAAATTCAAACTTTTTAATTATCCCTCTATAAAAGTATACAATTGAGGACTAATGGTGGATTAACCTAAACTTTATTGAAATCCTTCATCTCCCTACTAATCAATTGATTCTTAAGTAGTTATATATTAAGATAATGCATATAATTATTATTTGTATTCATATTCTTAAACGTCTTGGAACTATTAAGGTTACAGCTATTCTTTTTCCTACTACTATTATTGTTAATATTAATATTAATATTCATTTTATTATTATTAAAATTATTCTCTTGGTCCTTCTTTTTTTTTTTTATTATCAACTAATGGAACTTCTTATTAAATTTATGGATTCCTTTAAAATTAAGGGTAGGGTATCTCAACTTTTTTAAAGGCTTGAGGTTATGCGATATATTAATCTATTTCAATAACATCCTTAAAATTGTCGTGGATGAGTTGTTTGTCTTTGATGTTTTTTTATACAAACTAGTTTAATTCCATATGATAGTTAGCTGTTTTCAAAATACCAAGCACCTAATTTGAAAATTCAGTTATGTATTATATTCTCTTGCTTAAATCTACAGTATTATTTTCATTAATTAAGCTTTTCAAAAACTCTTAATGTTTTAAAAAAATTTAATAAGAAATTTCAATTATTTGGTTTAGATTGTCTTCATAAGAAACCAAATCTTTGTTAATATGTACATTAGTAAAAGTTATTTCATTATTTTCAATATTTACATAGATTGAATCCATTTCAAGTTTTGCTAATTTCGATATTTGATAAACCTTTAACAATTAATCTACTATTTTGTTTGTAATAATAAATAATTCGCCAATAGTAAAGCATTTGATTTTATTTTGCTAAGCATATAAATTAAATAATTACTTCTTATTTAATAAGGTCATTCAGATTAACACTGTTCTCAATATCATACTTTAAACTTTCATTTTCATATTGGAATCTTTGTACTTTTTGCATTCTTTGTATGTTACGATACCTCTCTATTGTTATGTTTTGCATCTTTTGTTGATATTTCTATTAAAAAAATTATTACAAAATTTAAACAAAATATAACAACATATTAAATAGTAAAGATAAAAGATAAAAGATAATTCTTATGTATCTTTTAATGTTTAAATATAAAAATAAAACAAAATTATTCGGTGATAAGCTCTATTTTCAATAAAACCAAAATAAATAAGTTCTGTATATATCAATAAATCAGATTCAAATTAGAATTAATTATAATAATAATAAAATGAAAGGATGGTAGAATTATAAGTTTGTTTGTCAAAGAGTTAAATGCGATGATAGACAATTAGAATAAATTAAAAATTTAGAAAACAATCCTTATTTAGTTGGAAAACAATTAGAAGATGATGAATTCATTTTATACAAAATTCCTTGTAATGAATGTATTTCTTTGAATGATTTAATGGATGCAATAGTAATTTATATGTGATAATTTAGAAATCGAATTATGTAGTTATCTTTAAAGGACAAGTCATTTTAATTATTTAAGCTATTATTCAGCATTTAATTAAAATGAGTGAAGACGAATTATGCCATTCATAATTGAATACAAACAATATTTTTATTCAATTAAAACCAGGATCCAATAAGTTTACGACTTATCAATAACTTATTTAAATTGATAACATCTATTTTGTTTAATATTTAATAGTTTCGGATCCTTATAATCCAAACATAGAATTAAAAAATGATGTAACAGAAATTATAAAAATTATTTATCAATTTTTAGAACTATATTAAGATAATAGTTTTACTAAAATTATAGAAGAAATAAAAAAAGTAAAAAAAATCAATGATGTAAAACCATTTAAGTAATTAAAAGATATACTTGATAAATTCATAACGGAATATATAGATATTAAGAATTAAATAATGAAAGTTAATGAAATTGAAAATTATAATAAATTTAATAAATAAAGATATCTTTGTGAAAAAGAATTACTTGTTTATTTAGAAGAATTATTAAAATAGAAGATAAGATTTGGCGAAGATGTTTACGAGCAAGCTGAAAATTAACAATAAGAAAAATTTGAAAATTTGAAAGCATTAGAATATTTATAATAGTTTCTGGAGTCTCAATTTAAATTGAATTTTGTGTAATAATTCTAAAATTTCTATGGAGACAAATTATAAAATACTTATTTATTAAGTGGAATTACAAAACAATCATATAATGAATTTTTAACTTCTATAGAACCAGATAGAATGAAAGCAAATGCATCCTTTGAGATTTTTGAAAATGTAATTCACAATTGTTTTTCAAGTTTAACTTAGATTAAATATGAAAAACTTAAAGATTATAAATTTGTAGTTGAAGATTTATCCAAAAGTGCAATTTTTGAATTGCTATATACATTTTATATTAAACATTCATTAGGTTGCGATTTGGCAAAATAATCTGAAGAAGTCAATTCAAAAGTATTATTAGATATTCAATAATATTTTTAAGAATATTATAAAACGGCAAAATATTTTTAGGGTTTGTAATTATTGATTGAATAAATATGAATATCAAAAAATTTATATGATTAGATTCATTCCTGTATTTTTTTTTAATATATTTTATTTGGTAACCAATTAAAGAGCCAATTCATTAGATTATTTTTTTTTAGAATTTTTGACTCAGGTTAACCTTAGCTAATAACAACTTGTCTATAAGAGTCAATGTAGATGATCGCCAAAATTCCGAATAGGAATTGATAAAGTATAAAGTAAAAGAATATCATAAAAAGCATAGAAAATGTTACATCTGTATCATAAAATTCCCCTATATTAGAACTATTACAAAGCATCAATATCAGTTATGCCAAAGATCTAGCAAATACGCTATAGTTTACAAAATATGGTCCCTTTTAATTTGTCAGAATAATAGCAAAGCCAGACAAAATAAGAAAAAGTAATGTGAAACTGGACAATAATTACAAATATTAAGATTCAATAGCTTCAATGGCTTATTCTAAACTTTTAAAGATATTAAACATCAGATATATTCTGATTAAATGAGCACAAATACATAATGAAGTCATAACAAGGATACTTTTATAACTATCTGCAACATTCCCTAAGTCAATATAAGTGGTTTATTACACAAGATCATAAACATTAATGTTTTATTTGAATAATTACATCGCTTAATCTGCAGTTGAAAAGTTGAGTATTAAAGACATGGAATTAACAAGGAAAACAACAGATATAAAATATTTGATTCCTGAGGAAAGAGAGTCCTTCATTTTGATCAATTAAAATACTGTATAGATGATTCCAACAATAATTTTAAGTACTGTAATCATATACAAGATGTATCCAATATTTTTATTATTAGGACTCTCAGGAGATTCAGAATGCATTTCAGCATAAATAGAATAAGGTGAGGATGATCCTTTACCAAAAATATTTGGTGAAAATGGAGTGATGGTGGGTTATTTTGGATAAATACCAATTCCAGTGACTTCAACGAGAAATTCAATAAACACAAACATCCCATCATTTTTACTCCTAACTGTCATAGTCATAACTTAGGCAATTAGAGTTTCCTGAAAATAGAAGGGATGATTAAACATTCCTTCTATGATATTATGAATATAATAGACTGGAGTTAAATCTTCTGGGCTTATATCCTAAATATATCCACTTGAATCGTATTCACTAAATTATCCTTCAGTAATCCTATCATTTTTTGAGTCTGTAAAAAGCATCCAAGGTTTTTTTCCATCACCAATTTAATCAGTAAAGAATGTTTGGTCATTATAAGTTTCATAATTGCAAGTAATTTAAGGGATTTTATCAGTTCTTATAGGATTCGGACATTAAGTATATCGAGTTCTTAATTGACGAAATCTCAAAGCTCCAATTATTTCATAGGATGTCTTAAAATCTGAATTATCAGAAGTAAATTGATACATGAGACCTTATGGATTAGTGTAATATTCTTTGAGATCAGAAATTGAAGAGATGGCAAGAAATTTATTTAAGTTTAAACTGTTTTCTATTTTTTTGATGTGCTATTATGTATATGCTCCATTATCTAAAAAGTAGATAAATAATATATTCAAAGCCATTAAGATTATCAGAATGAAGAGAATGCAGATATGGTTATCATCTAATTTTTCACCTTTCAATTCTTCTGCTTGATTTTTCTCTGCACTTCTACCTCTTTTTTTTAGTTTATCTACATCAATAACAAATTGCTTTTTTAATAAAGGAAATCTATTAAAGAAATAGACATATTTTCTAAATAATCCAATTTTGAGATCTTATTAATCGTATTCTTATTGTTCATCATATTCATCCTCATTCTCGTCAATTTATGTTAATGGTTTTTCTTCACTTACCTTTGAACCATCAAATGTAACGTTGGCACTTTAATGAGGATGGCTAACTTGACTCTTTTCAGGTTGTGCATTGCTTGTAATATGTGATTATCTTGATTCTGAAGGTTGACCTCTTCGATGAGTTTTCATTCTTTTTTTTTTCAATGTCACAGATAGATAAGATATATTTTAATCTGCTAACACTTTGTTATAATAACGCTCAATCAATTCTGTGTTTTGTATATTCTCTTGATTATCATTGACAATTTCATATCTGTTACAAAACTTTTCTAACATGATCTGATCATTATTTCCGCATTCCTATACATATTCAATTTGCGGAGATACTAAGTTCCTAGTCGTTGTTTAGATAGATCCTGGACTTACTAATCCTGGTTATTATTTCTACAAAATATCATCTATCTATTCTGCCACTTAAGAATCCGGCTATTAATTTACTTTGGATTTTGTGGGCTAATCATTACAACTAGTCTGTCCTGCATCATAATGCATCTCTTTCCTCACCTAATCAATATTGTAAATATTCCAATAAACTAATGAGGCTTTTTTTAGATCTTGAAAACTGTTTATTTTAGAATATCTAAAAGTTGCGGTCACGTAATCTACATTGTCATCCTAAAATTTAACATCTTTTGATAGTAAGTTTTTAGGACATTTTACTTAGATGGCACAAGTCATAGGTGGTGGCTAATATTAATTATCATTTTCAATATTATTTTATTCCGGAAATTCTTCCTAAACGCATTCTTCAAGGTATCTGAAGTATTTGTCAATATGATAACCAAATTTCTCCAAAACTTACTTTGATATTGATCTAAAAAATTCCTTCACACGATTCTTATCTAAAATTTCTTATTAAGGTGCTTCTGCTTCCATCATTTCAATCTACTTAGAAACATACATAGTCATATTATTGAGATTTTTTAAACTATCTTATACTTCTCTTTCAAGAAATGTATTCCTGGTCTCTTTTGCATCTAAATCTTATTATAACTCATTCATCTTGCTGTTCAGTTCCATAATTCTAGAACGAAGTTTTCTAGCTTTGCTTTCTGGATCTAATTCCATAAAGAAGTAATTTTAATTTGAAAATGACTACTTTTTATTATAAAAATTTAGTATTTTTAAACTTCTATTAAGAATCTTTGTTCATATTTTAACATATTATCTCGAATAATGAATGAAAGTTATTGAGATAGCTTTGGTTTTAATAGAATTTAAGTCTATTAGCACTAGAGTATGATTCGTTTTTGTAATTCAATTCATATTCATATATGTTCGAAACGAATTAATTAGATAAATATATTCTTGTGCTATTAGAGTAGCATAGAATTAATCTAAAAATATAACTAAATAATAAACATATAGATAATCATAAAATATGATTTGGAATTAAATCGGGTAGAGTGGTCAGTCTAAATCTGGATGAATATTTATGAATGAATGGTTTGATGTAGAGTTCCTTAATTGTTTTTTCAGACTTTTTATAGGTGCTTCTTTCTGTAGAAAGGGCTGGCTCTTATTTGTATTACTATGTCTGTATTTAAGGAAGTTATGATTTAAATGGTTTAATAGATTTGTAAGCATTTCTCGATAGAAGATGATATGATAATGACGAAAACTATTTATTGATTAATTTGCTTTTTTCACTGCTGATAATTTCTTTTTATTTGACTAAAAATGATTCAAAAAAACTAGGCTTTTTAGTTGGTGTTCTCTCTAGGATTTTTGAAGAGTTAATATGAAGAGGATCTTCTTATTTAATGACATCCAGTAATCGAGTATTTTTTTTCTCAATTTTGATTGTATTTTATCTGACAAAGGATGATTCCAATGATTCAGTAGGTATTTCTACACCAAATAGATATGGTGCCATAACATAAATTTAATGTTTACGAATGGATCTTTGAAATTTATGCATTGGTGATTCTCGTTCTTTTTCTATATGCTGTATCCTGAATTCATGATTCATGCATTGCTTCTGGAATCTGCTTAATGGTCCACAAAATTGGCACTCGCAACTTCTTCTCCTTTGTTTAAATTGCTCCTTATTCTACTGCTTGTATTACTTATCAAGGTCCTTATCACTCAAAATCAAAGCTCTAGGTTTTCGAAGTTGTTTTTGTGATCCTATGGAAGATTGGGTGTTAAGAATGGACTATTTCTTATTCATTCCCTTAATTTCTATATATTTAAAGGGATTAAATGAGGATGGAAAAGAACGAGATCGAAGTTTTGTTTTGACATTAATGTTTATGAGTTTGACATTCTTTTGTTGAAATGATAATTTAAGCTTATTAGACTTAATTGATTATGGACTCTATTTGGCTAGAATCCTTTTTTGTTGCGCAATTTGCATCTATTCGATATCAAACAGTTAATGCTTTTGTATAAAAATTATTGATTTCAACATTTACTACTTTTAAAGAAATGCCATAAAATAATTAATATTTTAATAAATAATATTATTGCTGGTTCTCACATAAATCAATCAATCATGATGAGATGCGTAGTCTTCTGAAATTAAATAAGAAGTAATAACTTTAATAATAACTAATCTAAGATCATCTTGATAATATATATCTATTAAATTTTAATTCATTTTATATCTTCTTGATAAGTATTCATTAAGTGTAATTTACTCTAAAAAATGTGCATATCAAGTTAGAGTGTAGTTATCAAATAAAATGATAAAATATACCTTAAAGAAACCATATTTTAAAGGTTTAACCAAAAATATTTCATTCAATTATCGTAATGAATACTACTGATGATTTTGGTTATTCTAATTTGTCCAATCCTCAATATTTTAAAGTTCTAAATATTGGTATAATTTCAATAAATAATGACTTTATGCTATGAAAATTGATCTAATTATGCAATACTTTAAGTGAAAGACTTAAACTGCCCTATTATTCTAATATTGTTGATGTTTTTGATAATGACCTTATTTTATCATGCGTCATCACTAAAAAAAGTATATCAAATGTTATGCATCTATAAAAGATGGTAATCATTAGTTTTATATGGACAGATTCCCTTGTTCCATTTTTGTCTCCTTTTGCATACCCATTGACTAATTAATTAGAATTTTCTTATTTGCAAATATTTGATAATTAAAAATGTTCCCAATGAAATTTAATATTATTTAATGCAGCTCTATATTGGTGGTGTTATTCGTCCTAATTACTTTAAACTCATAATCTGTAATTTATATAACCAACGTTGATTTTTAGAGATCACATCATGAACCAATACTAGTGAACTAAATTTCTGATTTCATCAAGGAAAAGCAAAGCTTGAGTCTATTTAGCCAACACCTTTAAAAGTAAAAATTTAATTAAGTTAATACATTATACCTATTGCTAATATGCTATATTAAAGTTAATTTATTAAATTATAATTATCAATAATGATGATAATTTTTTGATTTACAAGAGTAGATATCAAGAAAAGATCTTATATGAATTTTTATATTATTCATAAACTTCAGGATTATTACTAATTTTTTATGGATGTGGATCTCCATTTTACGTATCCACTAATATCAATATAAACATTTGACATAAAGATGCCTTATTTGCACCCAATCGAAAATAATATAAATGCAAATAGTTATGATAAAACTTTTTGTGTTTGCACTTTTAAATATGAACTACTAATTGCTAATGACATGTATAATTTTGTAGCGTTAATTAAAACTGATAAAATATTGAACTAATTTAAATATTTAATTCTTAATATCAATAGTTGCCTTTAAGTGATTAATTTTTGGTAGTAATATGTAATCCTAGATTTTGACATAAAGTTATCCCAACAAATTCAATAAATCTTACTTTTCAAAGTGGGTCATATATTATATTATATAAACCAAATAAAAAAAAATAAAGTAGATAAATTCTAAGTGTAGGTACTTATTTATATAATTTCTATGAGTGCTTAGCAATAAAAACTAAAGAAACTTATTGAGAATTTAAATTTAGAAAGTAGGTGAATATTTTTATAAATTTTTTTTCAAATTAAAGAAACCAATTATTATCATCATTATGTGTAGAAAACTGTATAGTCGGTAACATTATAAAACCATATATCTGCATATCTAATATTAAAATAGACGATGGAAAATAATAGATTCGCTTTACTAATATTTATAATTTTTAACATAAAAGCATGCTCATCATTACTTAGTTATTGAAGATCTAATCTAAATCAAACCAAATAATTGATAAAATTGTTGAATCTTTCATGAAAAAAAAAATAAGTTTTTGAATTTATGAGAGAATTATTGTCTAAAAAAGAACAAAAAAATCAAATATTAATATACACCTCAACAATTGTCATGGCATCTCAATCTCGCCAAATTCAAGGAGTCTTTTTTCGTATATGGCATATTGTTAATCATCTACAAATAATTAGTAATCCATATATTCTAAAAATTCCTACTCTAAAACATTTATTTCTTTGACATTTATTCCTCCTACCTTAGCATAAAACTCATTTTTGTAATAATCATCATCCTAAAACTTGATAGCCGTCATAATTGACAATAAAAGAAACCTGTAAATGAGTTTTATAAAATAGATATATACCTATGTATGCAATGGGAATTCAATACAAGATATGTATGTTTCTCTTACAACCTATCCAAGTATATTAGAGCAATAACAAAGCATTATTCACTGCAATGTGTGTATTTAGCTATTCTTTGCAAGTAATTGTAGATTGTAATTGAGGGAGCTTTATTTGCATGAAAAATAGAGTTATACTCTATCTCAAGTGCATCTGTTTCTTTGATAATTTCATCTAAAATGTTTGAGATTGTCAAGAGTAGAGGATTTGATTGCTACATTAATTTATAAATAATAATATTGAAACTATATCCATTTGAGATCAAGGAATAAGCAAAGCAGGACCTAATTAAATAAGCCATTAGTAGTCCTGCTTAAGATCGACAGCCTTTTTCCCTTTGTTACCCGATTTCATAGATAGATAGTGAATAGAGTGAGAATCAAATAAAATTACAAAATATAAATAATTATTGATTATATTGGAGGATTATTTATTAATAATTATACGAGCCTTTAATTTTATAAATATTATAACATTAAATGTCCAATTAAATATTGGAAGAGGATCTTAATTAGTCTCTAAGATTAATAGTATAAGGTAATCAAAAGTTGAATCTTAGGCAGAGAGAACTTTTTAAAGGCAACCAACTGTGAGATGAGGTAACAAAGCTATTCTTAAATGAAAAAAGGGTGTGGAGATCTCCTAACTTATATAAGACATGAAAAGGATGAGAATATAAAAACGATGATGAGTTAATAACTAAAAAGATATATAGATGAGTTAAACAACTTCTCTGAGGCTATGAAAATAAATTAATAAACTGAAGAAGTTGAAGTTGTTTAAGTTAAAAAATAAGAACTCCTATATACTCAAGAGTCAAACAAAGAGATTTAATTATATAATGCATAATATGCTAAATATGTTGAAATCCACCAAGTTACTTAAAATAATACTACTTAAATAATAGGTTTGGAATCACAAAAATAGATATTAAATGAGCGTATTGGTTTGCCGTTACTATTTCCTTAGTTATTTTAAGGGAACCGAAAATTACAAACATCAACATTATTATATGGAGTATATATTCTACATTAACAACTAGCCTAGAGGAACAGGAAAAACTGAATTATTAAGATAGATTGCCTCCGATTGTAAGGCTCTTCTGATAATAGTCAATATTTCGATGATCATTGAATTGGAGGAACAAAATACTGTATCAGAATTAATGAATCAAATAGAATAATAAACGAAAAATAAATCTTTTATAATTGTGCTTAAATAATTAGAAGAATGTAAAAATAGAGAAAAATTGATTTAATTTTTTGAAAAATATAATCTCAAAAGCTTAGTAGAAAGTGAGAGATTAGCATCAAACGTGATCGGATGTACGAACTAACCTTGGAAGATTCATCATTCAGTCAGAAGGATGTAAAGAATAATTCATAAAAAATAGCTTTGAGAATAGAGTAGAATTTACTTTGATGTCAGAAAAATAAAGATTAGAATTCATAAACCATAAATTGTTCTAATTTCAGCAATATAAGTTGCAAAATAATGAAATAGCCGAATTAGCCAAAATTACTAACAAATTTACAGGGATGGATCTTAAGAATTTGTTTACAAAGGCAATACAGATATATGAGTAAAAGTAATATGCAAAAACTGATGTAAGATTTCTACTTATGAAAGTAAGATTTCTATGATTGTATTTTGGATGTACTTTAAGTTTAAAAGAGCTCTGTATAAGATTCTGAAATCTAATAATTTACATAATGGAAATAAGAATTTTGCATTTGATTAGATTATAATAATAAAACAAATTAATATCAATCATATCTTAATTTATAGTAATTTTATTATTGCATTAATATTGGAAAAGAAGGTATTTTAAAGTGAGGTGGTTACAATTTTAAATTAAACACTTTTGGTTTAACAAATGAACCATTCTGTTGTGGTTACTAATTTTAAAAATTTTATTATTAAGATTAAAAAAAGGATGATTATTATTGTTATTACTAAATTTAAGAGAATTGATTAAATGCTTAAATCATTTCTTTTTTAGCTTCTTAATCACTTTCACTTGACTTTAATTTGCTTTTATTTGATTTGCGAATTGAAAACTTTCTTGTCATTTAAGCAGAGGATTTTAATTATTATTAAGATGAAATTTGTAATACTTATTAGGTGTTTGGTTAGGATAAAGGAGAAGTATCAGGAAAACTGATTCTTTTATAGTTAAAAAAGTCTGCTATTTGTAACTCCTGATTTTATTTCGTTGATTTCAATATGTAAAATGAAGGAGGTCTTTTAAATCTATCGATGTTCTCTTAAAACTTACTCGTATTTTGTTAGTCTTCAGAAGCAATTTCATTTTCATCTCTATTTTATAATTTCTGTTCTAGAGGTTGCTATTAAGGTAATTCCGTCATTGATTTTAAAGGGTTTGAAAATACTTTGCTATATATTATGATTCAATAATACTTAATTAAATTTTGTTTATTTTCTTTTTTGATTGTTACATTCTTATATAAACTCTTTCTATTGGATGATTTAGAGGGCTCTAATTTATTTCTAGAATCAACAGAGCCTTAAACAGTAATGGAGTGCTATATCTATCGTTACTATATTAGTCTGTCTCTCTCAGTAAAATTGTCTTTTTTAATATTTCTACGGATATCTAAAGGTTTATATATATTATTCTAAATTACTTGCTCCTGTCCATTCTTCATATAGTTTTTATGAATGCTATAGATATTCATCATAAGACTTGTCACAAGGATAAATCTTTTCGAAATTCCCCAAGTGTTAGGATTCATATTGTTCTCTTTCTATTTATGCTTAAAGTTTGAGTGTTTTCTTTTCTTCATTTGAAATTTTAGGTTTTTTTCCTAGTACTCTTCTTTGCATCTACTCCTTTTACAATTATTAGAGGTCATTCTTAACTTTTAAATTGATATTCATAAGTGTAACAGTATCTCTTATTAGATTCTTTTTGATTATAGCATCAAGAGGAGTATCTGCAGTGAAACTTGGCGTATGATTTACTTCTAATAGATATGGTTTATATGTATTATCAAGAAGGATATCAAATCCCAGAATCTCAAAGCACATATTGTTAGCATAATTGTCAGGTTGAGTGTAATTGGATTGCAGAAATGGTTAAACTGAACAAAACGTTTTTATAATTAAATCCTTAATTTTTGCCATTAATTCATCAATATTTGTTTATTAGGATAGCAATTTAAACACACTAGATAGACTTCTTTTATGTCCCACATCCATTTATTATTCATCTGTATTGAATACAAAATTAGGATTGTCTTTATTAATTGCATAATTCGTGAGATGCATACACATTTCTTCAGCATTCATTTGATTGGGCTATTAGTATGGTTGTGTAGCAAACCTTGCTAATCCTTCTTTAAACAGGTATATTCTAATGTAGACTACATATATATTACCTCAATGGATCACAACCTGCCAATAACACATACATACGAAAATCAAATTTTAAACCATCAATTAACAATGGTTTATGCAGATATCTTTGTACTACACAATGTTCAGTTGCTATTGATTCAACTTACTTTGTTAAGAATATGCCTTTTAATAAAAACCAACAATCATACCTCTGCCTTAACATGATGCTTCAGGCTTTACAATAAAGTATTTAATTTTTTTAGTATTTTGCCTAAGATCTGAAATATCAGATGGTAGCATCCAAGTTTTGGGATAAAAGTCGAATTCTTCTGGAAATTATTTAGCCATTTTATTTAAATTCTTGCCTAAATAGTTCTTTCTAGCTATGCAGTACATTCCAGGGAAATGATTAATTCTCTAATGACCTATTTTAAGTAAATATATAGAATACTTTACATTCGTGCGAGAGTTTCAGGTAGCACTGCATTATCAGTCCAACAAAAGTCCCATACTTAGGTTTCTTAGTAGGGAGTGTATTGCAATTTAAATTTATTCAAGATTTTGCCCACAAATTTAACAGCAGCGTATTAAGTGTCCGATACATTCATGATTAATATTTTGTTATTATTAACTAACTATCTTCTTTTTCTCCTTCTTCTATTTTACAATCCATCCTCATCTGAGTCTTCTTCAGAGAGTTCTTCTGATTCTTCCTCGCTATCTTCGAATTGTCCATTAAATGGTATTTCATTTTTGTCACTTTAATAGAACATGGTTAATTAATTTTATAATTAGAAAAAAACTTTGATATCGTGGATTTCATTAAAAACAGCTAATTGAATGAGATTTAATTAAAAGTTATTTTATATTTATTACGTGTAATCTATTGAAATAAAGAAATCTTAAATCATTAATGTTGTTTTGAAATAATTGTGATAGTTTCTATTGTACTTTTGTTGTATGTCTAAAATGATAGTAATTCTTCATGTTACATCTATTTTAATAACATAGAAACATTACTTCATCAATAAACTATTGGTTATTTAGTAACACTCTTGGTAAGGAGTTATCAAATCGAAGGATGAAATACTTTAACAATTGGTAAATCACGTCATTTAAGTCTTCAAAAAAGATTTGTCTATCAAACTCTAAATAGATTTCTGATTAGAGTATGAATTATCTGAACAATTTATTGTATTCCTATTCATCTGAATGGAAGAAATCACAAATTTCAGATTATGATATAGCCATCGTTTCATAATCATCAAATATTTGCAATTATTTGCCAACAACCAGATAAATTAGACTCAAAATAGTCAGCTTTTCATTGTGTTTGTATTGATAATCTATCAAACAAACATCAAATAGCTGCACCAATTCTCTGTATCTGTAATATGCCTCGTTTGTTCTTTCCTTGAACATAACACATGGGTCTTTGTCTATAATGAATTCATCCCATAATTTGGTGTAATAATTTAACCAAAATATGGGAGTGTTTGGATACATTCGAAAATCAAGCGATTTTAATATTAGAACCTCCATCTATTCAATCTCCTAAATAGTGTATTGGTCTTGGATCAGTCGATGAAAATCCTTCAGGGTTTTGGGATAGATTTCCTCGCATTTGTGAGCTATAAAGATAGCTGCCACTCCTAAAAGTTGAAATCTGGAAATATGAAAATTTGGTTGTCTTAATAGGTACCTTTCCACGTAATTGATAGACAAATAGAAGGTTTCTCTTTTGAAATGGAATGAATGAGCAACTTCGATCAGCCAATCGAATAAAATTGCCACCATGTGACTTTAAATTTCATTCTAATTATTGAGATAATTCTTTTTATAACTATAATTTTCTTCGTATTTTACTTATTCTCTCATAAATTCTGACAAAGTTTCTTACTCATCTTCCTGACTAATTTAATGTTCTAATGAGTTATTGAAGGTGAAGGAAGTAAAGTCCTTCACAACTTCTTCACATATTAATTTATCGTAATCCTACAAATTAGATTATTATTATATCGAAGAACCAAAAGGAATTTCTTCCTCTAGAATGGGGGATATGTCCTTTTCATTCTTAACCTTTTTTATCGTAGTTTGCCTTTCAAATGAAATTATTTAATACTCATATTAGCATGCCGCCTATTCAGATTTGAAATTAGCGCTCTCACAACTAGATTTCACTTCTGAATCCTTTGACTTTGACAACTTTTTAGACTTACTTTTCTACTTTTTGGAGTTGTTCAACATTTATTATTCTCAGTCTCGAGTTTTAGCACTATAAATTATTTTAATTACTATAAGATAAATATAAAAATGTAAGCATATCAATATCGATTCAAATTTTCTTGTAAATTCGATCTAAGTAATATATATTTGGTATTATGAAATATTAAAATTAAATATAGAATAATGTGAGAAGATAGAATGTTTTACAAAACTTCCTTTAAACAGTTTTTAATAATAACTCTATATTTTTTATAAGTTTTAACTTAACTAAGGAATGTACTATGTTTGTAAGGGATGCGATAATTGCTGTCGTAGCTGTTGTAGATGTTGCGAAGTAAATATTTTCATATAACTCCAAGGAATGTTGTGGAGAATGTTGCGATGCAATTTCAAATTGTTTTTCTACACCTTTCTCATTTTGTACTTTCATTACTTTTTTTGTCTCAATAATTCCATTCATCATAATGATAGTAGCATTAATACAGAGTTCTGATTTTGATTGTCAAGAAAACATAAAGACTTTTCTAATAATTTAGGGGATCAATAATTTGGTAAACTTTTTGTTCTGTCTCTACATAACATTTCACTATGGCTATTACGGTAAATATAAAGTGGAGAACTAAAAAACATTTTGGGAATAAACAGTGGATCTAATCCTATACGATTGGTTTGTTTGCATATACATATTTGCACTAATCTTCTTTGTAATTTGGCTCATAATATGCTTCTCAGCAGCTAACAACGAGGTATTCAGATAATCATAATTAAGCCCGATATCTCCCCTTGTCGACAATAAAATAATGGGTTCTTAATGACTGCATTAACAATCAACTTAATATGCATGATAGTGTACTTAGTGGTTGGATTTTTGATTTTTATCATTACTGTCATTTTGTACTCATGCGATGATGGCAGTTGTAGTTGCGGAGGCTGTGTAAATAATTCTTTTAATTCTTAGTTCAGATGTTGTTGCCTAATTATGACCTGTGGATTGTGCGATGTGGGAAAGGACAAGAAGAAATACTCAAAGGAATACACGGAACAAAAAAAGGCTAAGTACAATGAAGGAAGAAAGGGTTGGTTGCAATCTGGAAAGAGATTATTCGGATTTCTCTCTCTTGGAAGAGCAAATCCTAGAATGAACTAAATGAATACGAATATGGATCAATAATAACAAAATCAATACTATCAACCACCGTAGCAATAACCAAACTATCAATAACCGAGACCTGTTCATTAGGATAGATCAGTATCATATTCTATTTAGCTTAGTTCTTTGATAAATTGTCGGATTGTTTCAAAGGCAATGATAATAACAATCCCCCCCCACAAAGACCTCAATAATAGCAGTATCAACAACAAGTTTACATCTAGTAACAACCCAATATTCCGTAGACTAACAATTATCAATAACCATATCAGCAAGCTTATCAATAACCATATCAATATTAATAACAGCCATATCCACAATAGCAGTATTCATAGCCACCGTAATATCAACCTAATTATTAATATCCTTAGCAATAATAAAATGGATGGGGAAAATGATTTATAGATAAGTTTTTCATATATTATATTTTTAAATTATGAAGGGACATAATTAAGAATAGAGTGCAGACTATATTTTTAAGTTCATTTTAATAGGAAATTCAAGCACTGGCAAAACTTCGATATTGTAATACTTCATAAAATAGAATTGTACAATATTTATCATAATTTTGATCAACTTTAATAGCAAGAAAGAAAGTTCAATAAACAGTGGGAATTGAATTCTAATCCAAATTTTTCGTATACAAGAACAAAAACATCAAATTATAAATATGGGACACTGCTGGATAAGAGAGATTCCGTTCAATCGCCAGAACTTATTTTAAGAATACCATAGGAGCAATTCTAGTTTATGATGTGACAAGGTATGTCCATCGATTCGTCTATTAATAGTTAAGACTCATTTGAAGCATTAGATGATTGGATTAAGGATGCAAGGGAAAATGGGAAGAGCGATCTAGATATTATTGTAGTTGGCAATAAAATCGATTTGATAGATTAAAGAGTCGTTGATAAAGATTATGCTGAACGAGAAATGAAAAACAAAGATGTTCTTTATGTTGAAACAAGTGCCATGACTGGAGAAAATGTTGATAAATGTTTCTAAGCATTGATTGATTAGATCTGCAATAAAATTGATAAAGGTATAAAGTACCTCTTAGGATAGGTCAAATTGAAAAAGATGAATTCAATCCACAATTAAAAAACCCTTTAAAGCAAAACCTAAACAATAAAACTAACAATGTTTAAAGTTAAAGTTGCAATTGCTGATTTTCTATAATTATTAGTGTGCATATCATATGATATTGTATTCCTTGCATAAATTAATAGTCAATTATTTTCACAATAGATTCCAATTTGGCTAAATTTTATTAATATTTCTTAAGTATTTTTCTTTATTCAAAAATTAAGTAATTTATAGAAATTTCATTCTAAATCTAAAGAATCATTACAAAATTTTAGTGTTTTCCTGCTGAAATCTATTCTCCCAACATTACAATACTGATAAAACCTACTCTTATTATTTCCATTCTTTTTATAAACATTAGTCATATTAGGTCATCAAAAACAAAAATATTATTAAATACAATAATGAATAAAATAACCATTGAATCCCAATAGACAAGATCTGCTTTAAAAGTCTAACAACCCATCTTTATGGAGTAATAAGAGGCAAAATCGTGTCGAATTTGTCTTGAAACTGAACTGGATAACGATAAACCCATTATGCATCCTTGCAAATGTAAGGGTTCTCTTGGATAAGTTCACGAAGAGGTAAGACTTTATAATTAAAATGAGTGTCTCAAAACTTGGATAGTTACATAAAACAAATAAATATTCACCTAGTGTGAAATCTGCAAAATCGAATATCAAATTGAATTTACCTCACGTAAAGTTTGTATTCCTGTATCAATTTGATTGTATTTAGAGAGAAAAGCATGTAAATCAAATTTGGAAAATATGATTGCACTAATTTGTCTTCTCTTTATATTTCTAGGCTTTACAGCTCTCCAGGCTTTTTTGGTTTTTCAAATGTAATCCATATATATATATAAAATTAGTGTCAATATTTTTGATGGAAATGATAATAATAATGAACAATCCAGTTTTTTGAGTAGTCCTATTACTATGATTGGTAACCCTTATTTTATAAATATCTTTAGGCTTTGCAATCATAGTCTTTTTGTTTTTAGTTCCCATTTTTATGTGTCTTCTCTATGTCATAAAAAAAATGCTCTTTGTAACTAAGATAAAATCTTGGCATATTTTAGAGAGAGTTCAAACTCCCCCAGCAGAATTATAGGAACAAATGCTTTAACATACCTTATCGAAAAATGCTTCTCAATTATTGTAATAATTGCCTAAGCTAAATTAAACTACTTCCATTCTCATATAAGGAAATGGATAGGATTACGAACATGTTTAATTTATTTGATATATCTATTATATTTATGTAATAAAAACCATTATTCACTACTAATTTATTAAATTTAAAACAATTCTCCAATAATATATATCTGAATTTATATTGTTATCAAAAGTACTTAATTCAATTTATAAACTAAACATTCCCTTTCTTCAATTAGTGATTTAAATTACTCATATGGAATTTATGTTATTCTTGCTTCTAATTATTTTCACCAAGATGATATCTTTTAAAAAGAATTCAATTAACTTTAGTTAGTTTATATTTTCAATTAATTCGTATTTTGATTTGTACATTTAAAGACATTCAATAGAAGTTTAATTATGAATTTTTAGATGAAATAAAATAAATTAATAATCAATATCCATTTACTCTAGCAGTAGCTGGAATACTTTAGGAATAAATTGGCTATGTTCTTTACTTAATTAGAAAAGTGGGTGATTTCTGCCTTTCTCTTATCTCCTATAATGCTTTGACTCTACAAAATTTGTTTGGACTCTTTAATCTAATGTGGAATTTCTCTCTTTTTAAAGTATTTTCAACTAAATCGTTAATTTATAATGAGGAGTATGATCTGATGGTTATTTACCTAATGTTTGCCTTTTCTTTATCTCTAGATTACGCTTTTTCCCTAGGACTGGTAACTTGCTTTCTTTATTAATTAATGAGTTCCTCATTGAGTTAAATAATTTTATTGGTTGAAATTAGCTCCTATTGTTTTTAATGAAAGAGGTGAGAGATGAAGGTCAAACCACTTTGATGGGGTGGTTAATTTTTTTTTGTTAAAAAATACATTAATTAAATTGAGATAGTTTTCAGAGATTCAAATGAATTTTCTTTTGATCTCTCTTCGAACAAATGAAACGATATTGTTAAGAGATTAAATTTGATATAAATAATAAATAAAATAATTTAATTAACATGGAGAAGGCAAATATAATATGTTTTTATGGTCCACCTGCAACTGCCAAATCATATGTAGCTCAATAAGTAGCTAAACAAACTGGGAATGTTTATTTTAATTTCGAGGAATTCTATTCAAAAGAAAAGGCTAAGGGGATATTGATAAATTGGATAAGTTAATGTAAATATTTTAGTAAGAACCTATGGTTTTCTCGATAAAAATCATAAGCAGTAGTAGTCTTTGAACATTACTAAAAACACAGATTTGTGGTTTATTTCTAATCCAGCAAAGATGAGGTTGATTAAAACATAAGATTATTAAGCACTAGGAAAAAAAGAAATCAAAATCGCGATGAATTATTAGGTTATTTAAAGTAGTTTCAATTCTTAATAACTGTCGATGCTGTCTAAAAAGGGTTGTCTAACAATCTTTAATAATCTTCGGATTTAATAATTGAGGCTATCATGAATCGCTTGAGACCAGAGAGTTTAATATGTATTGTAGTAGGACCTTCAATGACATGTAAAACTACATTTGCCTAATATATTTCATAAAAATTTGTTTACAATTAATCGAATGGGAACCTACTATGACAAAGTCAAAAGAAAAGTTGGCACCTGCTCCAGGAGAACTATTGGAAGAAGTGACTCTACCTTAGATCATCAAATACTATAAAGAATTATTTAGTAATTTATATAGTGACAAATATGTGGTTGATGGGTATTTTTAATTGTAAATTCATTAGATTCCCACCTGGATGTGATAAACCTGAATTAATATCTCAATTCTTGAATTTAGGATCTGCAAGTTGGGTGTTAAATATAGTAGCGGATTAAACTAATCAATGGATAAGATACAAATTTGAAATCAAATCCTAATTAATTTTGAAATATATCATATATTCAATAATTAGTTAAATCTTTCAATAGTTGGAGAATTTTTATCGAATTGTTATTTCTGATTCATTTACAAAAAGAGACGACTCTGTTTCTCAGTAAATTATATAATACAGTTCCACTTAAAAGATAGATTGATCTATATACTGTGTAACTTTAATAATATATCAATTTTATTAATACTCAAATATCATTTAAGTCTTTCTTGAACTTCATTTTCGAACATTTTCTCTAAAGTCAGAGACTAAATGTAAATATGGGATTTTTCATTAACACTACTATTTTTTAGAATATTAATCAATAGACAACTCATGAGAGTTCTATTACCATCAGTAGAATAAGAGTTAAATTTATGATCAATTTCCTATATATTGAGTAATTCAGAATCCTGGAAATACTTCTTATTCATTTCAAATAGTTTATTCAATTAAGTGATGATTTGATTTTTCAATTTATGGTAATTGGGATCATTAATGAATAATTCCTCTTAACCTATAAATTAAGTTGGCAAAATAGTCAAGATGATTTATTATTTTAATTTTTTGGAGATTAAAATCATCTTTTAAATGATTAATTTATCTAATTCTTTTAAGACTTCAGGATCTTAATTAGGAAAGTAAAATGATAAATGATAAGCAAAATTCAGTAGTTGGATTTCAATATATTACTAATAGAAACATTTTAAGATTGGAGAATCTTCTAAATAAAAGCAAAATATCCTAGGAGGCATGCTTGGTTTGCTTAAATACAATTAATAATCCCTCAAAAAGGAGTACTTTCTAAACTTCAATACGGATTTTAATTATATTTTTTAGTAGAAATTGCAAATTGTTTAAACTTAAGTAGAAGGCAAATTTAGTTTAGGGTATTAGAATATTTAAACTAAGGAGATTCGATTATTTTGGTAAATTTACAGCATTTTGGAAAGCAATTAATATAGTTCTTAATCGATATTTGCTTCATTTCTCTAGAAATTAAATGTTAATGTTATTTCACTTATATTGTCACTTTATTGTAGTTCATCATATATCGAAATTCCTTTAATAATTCTCCACATAATGGCTCCTACTAACCAAAGATCGGTTTCATAAGTAGAGAATTTCAATAATTTATTTTCTGGAGCATAACTGAGACGATCTGCATAATCAAAAGTTCTGTAAATTAAATTATTGTCAACAACTCTAATCTCCTCATATTTTAAGCTTCTACCAATAAATCCAAGCTAATGTATCTACGATATTCCTACAAGTAATTAGGACAATATATTCCAATAGTTTACATTCTTTTATTTTGACAACCATATTTCTAACGAATCAGCGTTGTCTTGCTCTGTCTAATATCTCAGATAATTATCTTTCATGCAAAAGAAGGATACATTTCTTATGTGGGATTTGTTTTATGGGATGCACTTTGATAATATTTGCTTTTCCTTTGATAAAAATTTCTCCTAGATAATGATTTGAGACTCATCTAATGGTCCTGAATTCAATATCCTTTAGGCCATATAAAATATATATTTAATTTAAATAAAGTCTATTATCAACTCTAAAATACTTTTATAGTATTGTGTAGAACTTGTTTTATATATTCGAGATTAAAATCATATAGTTATTATTTCATCAAGAAACATGTATTAATTTTAATATCAATATTAAAATGAGTAGAATTTAAGGAGGATTTCTTAATTAGCTTAAATGAAAATATTAAATAGATAATAAAGTTTTTGTTCTGCATTGAAATATTAAATATATTTTAAATATGGAAACATCCATAAAAATGTTCAAAAATGTGTTTTCATTTTTTACGGACTATGCATTCCTCTAAATTTGTCTAAAACTCTTAAAATGTGATCTCTCCATCTTTATTTATGTCAAAATAATCAAAGACTGTTTTTGTTTCATCTTCCGTGATGTTTGGTTCAATTCTCTTCAACATCATCCCCATTTCTTTGATATCTAATCTCAAATCGGCAGATTTGTCAAACTATGATAATAATATGATGGAAGTATAACCTTTTTAAATAAATCAATTAATTGGATATTGTATTTAATAATTGAGAGCTTTAACTTTTCGATTACATAATTTGCCCTTTCTTCGACATTATTTTTTTAAAGCAATGATTGTTTCTTTTACTTGTCTCTGTTTTGTTATTCTTGATCAACATGAATAGAATTGTCTTCCAACCATTTCTTAAACTCTTCGAATTCTATTGAATTACTTCCATCCTCATCAAATTTATTAAATATATATTCTATTTCATCTCTTTGTATATCTTTGTCCACTCTGGTTAAAAATCGACCCAATTCATTTACATCCAATGCCTTATCTTTAGACATATCCAATTCAGCGAATAATTAAGTTAAGTCTAATTTTTCTTTAATAATCATCAACCTTATATCATTAATTAAATATTAGGCTTTATCTTCAAGCTTGGAATTGCCTTTTATGAAATCAGTAAAGTATTAAGCAACAGCCGGATGCTTGTAGATTTCATCCCAAGAGAAACGCTTTGACTCATCCGGTTAGAGACATCCAATAATCAAATCCAAGGTTTCTTGAGAGACTGGTATTTTGTCAGTTGGAAATTTTAGTGGCTAATTTCTTATGTTCTTCAGTAATTCAGCTGGAGATCGAGCAGTCCAAGGGGCTTGCGATAAAAGGAAAGATTACTCTTGCCGAATAGTGCTTCATAGAAGATGAACCCTATACTCCAGACATCAGTTTTAGAGTTGTATCTTTTATGATCCAGTATTTGAGGACTCATATACAAGGGCGTTCCCACCATAGATGACATCATGTCCTTTTTAAAATTATCAACACATTTGGCAAATCCAAAATCAGCCAATTTAAATGTCTATTGGAATTAAATAATTTTATAAGAATACAGCCTTGTCAATTAAAATATTGGCGGGTTTGAGATCTCTATGTGTAATTCCATTCTTAATTAATTAAGTGAAACCATTTAAAACATCAACCAAAAATTTGATTGCCTCCTTTTCGCTCAGGATTTTTCGCTTCTTTAGCAATCTTTAAATAGTGAACATCTATAAATACTCATCGAAATCGCCTCCATCGCAAAACTCTTATACAATATAATAGTTATTTGAAGTTTCCATTACATCTAAGAGTTAGACTATATTGGGACTCTTGAGCTTTTACATTATCTTGATTTCTTAGATCAACCCCTCTCTCAAATAATCATCCCTGTCTATTTACTCTCAAATTGTACGCATTTATCACAGATTTACTCAACATTTTGATTGCCACCTTTTCCCCTGTTTTCTCGTTGACTCCTTTATAAACAGTGGCATAAGATCCTTCCCCAGCCTTATTCTTTATATTGAACACGTATTTGTCTATTTTCTTCTCTCCCATTTTATTAAATATATTTTTAAATATAATCGTTTAAGATTAATTGATAAATTATAAGAAATGATATAACAATGGTTAATGTGCTATTGCTGATCCAATTCCATCAATACATTAAATAACACTATTATGAAATCCTTTATTAATATTAAAATAATTAAATAAAGTTTAATAACTCAATGAACAAGCAGACAGTCGCTTACATTGGAATTGGTTGCACAACCTTGTCAGTGATGGCATGCCTTCTAATTTGTATTTTAGGGGTTGTTTCCCCAATTTATAGGAAATATCCTTCCAAGTGCTATTTTTTCTTTATATTTTAGAATCATCGTCTGGATCTCTTGCTTATTTATACTATTAGGCGTATTTATCTATATTGATCAATCCATCGTTATCATTGAAAGCAAGAACCCACACGATTCCTCAAAGTCCAAAAAACTACACATATTAACCGAATCACTAATAGGTATTACTATTACTCTAATCTCAAATTAATTTATCCTATTTTTGAATGAAGTAAAAATTTGTATTTACAACCCATTTTAAGCTACCTCCTCCTCTGTTTTCATATTTTTATTATTGTTACAATGTCTCCTAACTATGGTTATGATAGTTATACCACTGCTATTATTGCAGGAACTTCATCTTTCTGACACAGACGCCCTTAGCACACTAAATGATATGGCATCCTATATTAGTTTTGTTAGTTGTATGATTTGCACTTTCTTCTACATTGCCATATGGATTATTTTGAATAAAAATAAGTCACTGTAAAGTAGGAGACTCTATGAATTTAAGTCTGATTTTGTTAAACAGCAATTCTATTGGATATTTGCAATGTCGGCGATTAATATTACCTTCTCGTTTTACAATTACAACCCTCATAAAGGTCATGATTATTTGGGCTTAAAAATAGCCTTGAGTTTAGAAGGTCTAATCTTCGCTATTTTTCATCTAATCCAACCGTATTCCTATCACAAACTCTTATAGGTGTTCTTTAAATCCTTTCAGGACCAATCCTACATCCAAGATATTGAAAATATTGAATATGGATTAAACACTGATATTCATAACCGATTGATCCCCACTTATGAGAAACTACTCAAAACCTAAATCAATGAGCTTGTCAAGGGATTGGTTAAAGCCGTATTTGCTACTCTTGTTATGTAATTTGATCATCATCTGAAGGACAGGGAGATCAAAAGAACTTACACCTTTAAATTTCACTTATCTGAATTAAACGAAAGCAGAATTTCTTTAAATGAAGAAGAAGACGTCAGAGACTCAATCATTTTAGTTAACACATACTATCCAAATAGTTTTACTACTCTATTGAAATAGAACAATTTTAATAAGAGTATCTTGGAATTCACTTTGGAGTTGCAATACAATTACAAAGCTTTTGAGAAGGCGAAGGAATCAATGGGCAGAAGTGGGGCATTTTTCTTTTTTAGTCAAAATCATAAGCTCATTCTCAAAACTGTGGAGAAGTCTGAGATTAAAGATTTTTTGAATGGACGAATTGCTTCATATTTTGTTCACATCAATTATCATAACAAATCACTTATTGCCAAAATTTACGGAATCTATAAAATTAAATTGATGGCCTACAAAACTCAATATTTAGTATTAATGGAGAATTCATTTGAATCAATGTAAAATTTGGAACATGAGTACGAGATCTATGACTTAAAGGGTTCAACTGTCAACAGAACCTCAAGATCTGATGAAAGAGTAAAGAAGGATAATAATTTTAAACAATCTCCTCACAATCCTATCAGCTTGCCGAAAGAGATGTCTAATCAAATAAAGAAACAATTTATGGATGATTGCAGATTTCTTAGGGATATAGGATATATGGATTATTCATTACTATTAGGAATTTGTCTTGAAAAACCTTAATAGATCAACAGTAATGATTATCGACTTGTCATTAATGGGGCCCAAAACACAATATATTCCTTTTCAATAATTGATTACTTGTAAAGATTCAACTACTACAAAAAAAGTGAGTAATGTTTCAAAAGGAGCATGTAATTCAAAAAGAAGAAGGATTTATCTTGTAGAAGTCCAGAACCTTATTGCCATAGATTTCTAAACTTTATTGATTCAATAATTGTTTGATTATATTTAACTAAAAATAGAATACTTAAATTTCTCAAGTAAATTTGCAATTACAAAGAAAACTTCATTGAATTTAGTAGTAATATTAATAGTATAATTGTTTCTGCTTTTTATGTTAATACTTTTACAAGAACTTAATAATATTATTTAACTGAATAATAGTTATTTTATATATATTTTTGTTTAATATCTATTATAATATTAACAATAAAAAAAAATAAAATAATAATAATTATAATATTTAATCTTAACTTGAATGTCAAAAGCGAGTTTTAATTTGCAAAAAAAAAAATATTTGCTCACTTCTTTGTTAGAACCAGAATAAGTTGATGTAAAATCTGATTTCATTAATTTCCTTTAGATTCTCAATAAACCCAGAAGTCAATCGTATAATATTTTTCATAGTAAATGAATATTCATAATTATAGAATTAACACCAAATCAGGAACTTCGATAGGGTATTTAGTGATTAACTCTTATTAGGACCAATATATGATAAGCATGGAGTTATTGAAAGATCAATAGTTGGAAAACCTGATATATTTTATAAAGTAAAAGAATAGCAGAGGGCTGGGATTAAGTTTGTTAATCAAACAAACATTAGTAACACCACTATGAAATTTGTAAGAAGAATAAGTTCAAGGAAATCTACGAATTTATCAAATAAATAATAGTAATAATAACAATAACAATAATAATAATAACACTCTGAACATTCTTAAAGGAATGAATAAACTAAAAGGAACAAAGATTTTGATTTAGTATCGAAATAAGATCTAATAAAGTTGTGTCGTTTGATCGAAGTAAATGAGTACTTATTATTAGAGTAGGGTTAATTAAAATAAGGAATCTTCAGATTAAATTCTAAGAAAACAATCGTAATAAAAGGTTGAACAATTGAAGTTAATTTAACAAAATAAAGTATTAAATAAGTATGAATGCTAACTTAAATTGTGGAATGAAGAAATATCTAAATCAATTAATACAACAAATAGAACATCTAATGAATCTATCATAAACTCCTGTTCATGTAGAGAATATATATTATTTATAGAATTCAGAAGGAAGATTGAGTAAATCTAATTATAAGAAGCATTAAAACTAACTTAAGGGGAGAAAACAATCAATTAATGGTATATGTCATTAAGACAAAGCGAAGCTAAAGAAGAAACTATATAAGAGGACACTCAACATCAGTCAGTATTTTAGGATGTGAATAATAAAAATGCTTTATATGTTGATCCAAAATATAGATAATTAGAAATCATTAGATAACCAAGCTTCTACATGAGTCAACAAAATTCAATAAATCCAGATCACAAGTTAAGATTTAATTCCACAAACTTGTCATTTTACCAACAACAATTACCATATTTTCAATTAAGTGGAGTCCATGAGGAGAATATAGAGGAATTGATAGTTGAAGGATTAAATAAATATAAGATGGAAAAAGAATATGTCTTAGAATAGGCCGACAATTAAAAGTTTCGACTTTATAAATAAGTCGAAGAGTAGTATGTTGATGAATTAATTGATGAATGATTATCATTTTTATTTGTTGAAGAATACAATAACAACAGTAATATCATCAATTACTGTATCATTTAATTTCCATAATTTAATTGATTCCTTTACAATCCTAACACATGCAGCATTTCCTTCATCTTGAGCATAATATGGATATATCATATCTATCACCTTAATTAATAAATGAGAGTACTTATTCATTGCTTAGGAATTCCCATACGCCATCAGATGCCAGAACCATAAATAAGTCTCCTTCTTATATTTTATATGTGAGGATTTCTAAATAGAATTATATCATAAGATTACCTGGTTCACAAATAACTCCACAACTTGCTGCAACCTTATCACCAAAACTTCTACTCATAGCCAGTCCTGGAATGTCTTCTGTTTTTAACCAAACTCTTGCTGGACCTAAACTGGATCCATCGAAATCTATGTAAGGTTCTACTCTTCCTCCCTTCTGTTCAATTCTTCTTTTCTCTTAAGGTAAGTCTGGCTTGTGATCATTTGATAATGGAATAGCACTTTTTGCTCCATTACTTAACTGTCTACATATGATTGATCTGGAATCTCCAACATTGGCTGTATATATTGTATCATCGACAATTAGACTGATCACAGTTGTGGAACCACTAAAAGTTGTTATGATTTCTTCAAAATTGCATAATTAAGTGTTAGTTCTGAGGAAAGATTTGGAGATTGATTCTGAAATAGACGAAGGATTTAGAGACATGAGAGAGTCGATGTTTTTAGGTAGATTATCTCGAATGAATTGACTGCATTTATGACCATCTTGACCATGACCATCACAGACACCAAATAAGGACATGTTATCCTTAAAAGATTAAAGAGAAATAAAACTATCTTGATTTGTTTTTGTTTAATTATCTTCGTTTTTACCAGCCTAAGATTTAGTATAAGCAATTCTAGTAACACTCGGTTTAATGCACTCCTTTTTAAATAGCTCCAATTAATTCATATCAGCCTACAACTATTTAATAGGTTGTCTTGCTTTTATTGGTGATATTTTAGGTAAGTCATATTTTAATCCTTTGTCACTCTGTTGTTTTCTGTGTAATACAGGGCTTTATTCAGCCTTTTATTGTTATGCCTATTGCTATTACGTTTATTGAATAAGAAAGATTTTTTGGGAGTCTTGTAATTTTGAAGAAGACAAATTGCCTAATTAATTATATTTCGATCTTGGACGAATCTTATATATTTACAAATTCATAATACAAGCAATTATCCATTCATATATACGCTATTTTATTTTGTTGGAGATATTTAAGATTTCTTATCAGGAGAAATGCTTATGTTTTATTTAAAACTTTAAGACCTCGTCTATACTTATAAACTATTATTATTGTCTTTTAAAAAGGTTAGTTTATGTTATCGTAGACTAGTTGTTCGAGTTGCTTTATTCATTTTAATATTTAAACAAAAATTAATAACAATGATTGGAATATCATAAATGTTTCATTTCTAAATTTTGAAATTTCAAGTCCCTATTAAATATGTTGATTCAAAGTATCAAAGAAATTCAAGCTATTTTTGTATCTACTCAAGTTTATTATCAACTGTTTAGTGTGGAGAATTCACAATAAATTAAAGTTGAAAGACAGGACTCAATAAATTCATGGCATTATTAGATTATTTTATATTTATTTATTATTATATTAATTATATAGTGAAACAATTAAAGAATGATTTAGTAACTCCTGGATGAAATGACTGTGGCTTCAGATAAGTAGAAAAAGGAAATGAATAAAATTGATTACAAATACTAAAGAAGAACCAGAGATGTAATTAATGCAGAAAAATAAGAAAAATTAGAGAACAAAGAAATTGATGTTGGTTTACCTAGAATAAAGGACAAGGAAGAAGTGTATTAAGAATTAAAAAGAAGATTTAGAATGGCATGGAAAAGTAATCGATTTATTACAATTTTAAGGTCCTGGTTTCAAAAATGATGAGTTTACTAAAATACCAACATTGAAAGGTAAAATATTGAATGAATGGGAAATTTTGCGAATAAATTTGGCAGAGAGAAGCTATAAGGCACCTTAAGGTTTCCCTTTTTTTCTAGACTTTTAGGCTTCAAAGGATTCAAAATACCGAGTCAATGTCAAGAGTTTTAAAAGCCAAAGACTCCACCAGGAATTAAGAAACAATTAGATGAATTCAGATTGGATTTCGAGGATTTTGTTTAAAGGCCCAGCAAATATGGAAAAGTTCATGAAGATGAAATGTTAGAAAAAGTGAGGATAAACAACAAAGAACCATTTAGATTGACAAATAGTGTTCAACACAATGAATTTGGTTTTGATCCGCATCTAACTTGGGAAGCAGAAATGAAAAGGAAATAATCTAATAGCCAAAAATTAAGTAAATGATGATATTAATAATATATAATCTATGATATTTGGGTTATTACTAAAGAATTGCACATATTCAATCATCATTATAAAATTGCAAATGTTCATATGTAATCTGAATTTTATTATTGTAATACAAATTATCTTTAAATCTAAGATTTTTAATATTTTAATTCGTTTTATATCAATAAATAAATTAATTAATTTTTCTCTGAGTTTTGATTGCTCTATCTTGATTAGGGCATATTTGGTATTAATAAAACTGTCTTGTCTAATAATTAAACAAAATTTAGACTTACATATTAAAATTATATTGAATTTATAAATAAACAATGAAATAGTCAAAAAGTTTAGATTTGTTCTAAATAAAATTAAAATACCCTGATAAGTTGTATATTACATTTTTATCATTTTTTGTCGATTAAAATGGAATAAAATAATTATATTAAATAAATGGGAAATTGCTAGAGTGAAGAACTCAGTATTTCTGAATTGGAATTGTATAGTAAATCATCAGAATATATGATGTAGCTCCTTAATTGTCGCAATATAAGTTGCTCTACGTTATAGGGAAAGGAGGTTTCAGTAGGGTATGGAAGGTGAAATGCTAGAGAAAGTATTTCGCGTTGAAGGAGATGATAAAATCTAAGTAGGGTTCTCAACTATATAGAAATTAGAATAATCGAAAAACAATCTAATAAGAGTGTGATGAACGAGAGAATTCTGCTTTAAAAACTAAATCATTCGTATTATATTAATCGAGATAGATTTCTAGTAAATATGAGGGGAGCATTTTAAACATCCACACATTTATACATAGTTATGGACTACATGGAAGGTGGAGACCTTAGATATCATTTGTGTAGGCAGGGCAAATTCACTGAAGAACAAACAAGTAGCAATTCTAATTTGATATCTAAAGGGTTTTTTGTGATCTGTATATTGATGGCTCTCCAATATTTGCATAAAAACCTTATCCTTCATAGAGACATTAAACCTGAGAATCTGGTATTTGATGATAAGGGTTATCTTCACATAACTGATTTGGGCATTGCCAGAATATGGAAGCCCAACAATAAGAATGAGACTAGCGGAACTCCTGGATACATGGCTCCGGAAGTAATGATGGAATCTGACCATGGAGTAGCTTGTGATTACTTTGCCTTAGGTTGCATTGTCTACGAATGTTTGACTGGGAAAGTAATCCTATTCAATTAAAATAAAGAGACCTTATTAAGGGAAAACTAGAAGGCAGATTAGAGAGTTGATAATGAGCAAATAGGTGAAACTACCCAATCTAGGCTTATCCAAAGAGGTTACTGATTTTGTGAGTAGATTACTTTAGAGGAAGGCTATTTAAAGATTAGGCAATGAAGGTCCAGATGAAGTGATGAGTCATGCATGGTTAAAAAATGTCGATTGGAACAGACATTATGATAAATTAGTAGAAGCTCCCTATAAGATTGTAGGGAAGGATAATTTTGATTCTAAGTTTGTGAATCAAGTGTTGAGTATTAGTGAGTACAAGGAGGAACGGGATCAAAATAATTTGTTCTAAGGATTCACTTACTTGGAAAACAATGATGAACAATAGGCTACAGATATTTACACTAGTAAATAAAAGCTATTATTATCTACTAAATATTATTGAATTATTCTGTTTTGTATTTAAGGTTTAATTTATATTTTAATGAATATTTAACAACTATAAGGCCAATAACCTCAGATATAATAGTAATCTTAGCCGTCTTAATAAATGAATTCGCCAACTGCTTACAATCTCGACTCAATTCCTGGAGATTGGAAATTGGCCATAATTCATTAGTCTGCTCACAAAGTGGGAGTTGCTGGAAAATAAATATGTCTTTGTTGTGGATATCACATTTGTGAGTTCTAACTAAAACTATCAGTTGACAAAGAAGACCTCTCATTTTTGGGTTCAGGATATCCCCTCTATTTTACTTTCATTAAAAACTGCATTTTCTTATTAGGTTTTCATATGATGGCAGAAGGTCAATTCAATTTAATAAGCAATTACTAAGGACAAGATTGTATTCCTAAAAAAAGAGCGAAATTTGAAATAGATTAGGAATGTGTGAGAGACATTGTCACAATGTTCTCCCTGGCTAATAGAAGGAAAGATTAAGAATTGCAGGCACTTTAAGACATTCTAACATTGTCTTCAACCTTCTTAATGATGGCATTTCTAATATATTTTAGAAAGAATCAACAAAAATTAGATGTATTTTGTGATTTATAAGAATTGACTCCTAGTGATTACACAGTCATGGCTTACAATATAAATTAACCAGATAGAATAAAATAGTATTTTGAAATTGATTTATTCAAATTGTCAAGGAAGATTAATGTGAAAAAAATCAACTTGGCTTATGATTTGTCGAAAATTAAAGAAATAAATTAAATTAAACATAACATATTAAACAAGAAAAAATCATGCTATATCAACTCTGAATACTTTGACGAAAGGGAATTGGAAGACATAAACAACTAAATTGAAGAACAGAAAAAGAATTGTGATTTTACTGGATTGGCCTTCGTCTCATTCAAATACGAAAGAATGAAATCAGATGTCATTCAAGTTGCAAAAAGTGTATTTTTAATTCATCACTCTTAGGATAATACATAGCCCCAATCATCAACTTATTCACTGGTCTGAACTTTAATGAAGGCAGAATGCTTGATTATTATGGGCATCCTATATATGTGGAAGTAGCTCCAGAACCCACTGATATCAATTGGGATGTAATCTATATCTGGGCCAATCATAGCATCTACAGAAGGATCATAGGATCAATTATTAATGTTATTGTTAATATTATCTTGTCAATAGTAGTCTATCTTTCAATTCTAAAGTAAGTGTAAGTCTTAGGAGAATTGTCCAATGACTATCATGGCAATGACACATTCAATGAACATTACATTAAGGTTCATTTGTATTCCATAGGATATTCAATGATAACAGTTTTTATCAATTCATTTTTGTTGGATGAATTGACAAGAGCAATAGTTAGTTTTTAAGCATACCCTACATTTAGTTAAGTGAGTCTTGCTATTGCATCTAAACTATCATTTATGATGTTTCTGAATTCAGTGTTCATGCAGTGTTTGATAGCCTTGGAATCTGGCAACGTATATTATGCAGGAGGACTTGCATATAATATGACCTACTTCTTTATATCGAATGCAGTCATCCCACCAATAATTCAAGTGCTAGACATACCAGCAGTACTTAAATCAATAAAATAATATTATTACAAGAAATACGGAGTACTTACATAGCAAGAATTGAATGAGTAAATTCATTTAATAATTTAAGACTCCTAGAGTATCCAGAACATAAAATTGAAGAAGGCTATGCTGAAGTCCTTAAAACTATGAATGTTACCTTTTTTGTGGGTCCTCTTGTTCCATTAGGATATATTTTTAGTATTGTTGGATTGATACTGTTTTACTGGTCTGAGAAGTACTTATTGCTTAGGAGTAAGACTGTTAAGCACACTCCTTCATTTCAGCTATCCTCAAGAATGACAGACTCTTTGCAACTGATTCCAATCATCCACGTTTTCTCTACTTCAGCCTTTAAATATTTCATTCAGAACAATTTATCCCTCATTTCTGTAATAGGTTTGGTTACAGCATTAGTTTATCATTTTATCCCCAATAATAGACTGGTTTCTTTGATGTGGGATTTCGGAGAACATGACGAATACGAAAAATACTGTGATTCCATATTCCCTTTCAATTATGATAGGGAAAACCCGATAACTCAAAAGAAGGCTTTGAGGAGATGGCTGAGGAGGTAGCATAGATTCGAGGAAAGGAAAGAAAAAAAGATGAAATCTGGAGAGGATTATGCAACTTTGAAAAAGAAGGAAAGAGAAATTAAGTTATAACTTGAATTATTTTAATGAATTTACCTTAAAATAGGAATATTGGAATTTCATTTTAACATATAGTTTTTTGTACAAAATAAAATAATATATCATCTCAAGAATTTATAAAAAACTTCATCGAAATCCAATTTATGTATACGATAAAGAATGTTATAACTGACAGTAGAGGAATTGCGAATCCAATAATAGAATTTTATATTATGGAGATTGGCAATACAAGTAGCATCAAAATTACAGCTATTATCAACATCCAGCCTATCACCTCGTTGATCTTTTGGTTTGACAACGAAACTTTCTCAAATCTTGATTCATATAGATTGATTGGCCCTTTCGGGTATTCTTTCCTTTGCAATTAATATTGCTATTATTTCTTTTCTTCCTCCTTCTATAATATCAGTTGGAACTGATTCACGTTAATCTAAACATTGAGGGTAGTCATGATTGATTAAAAATATTTATTTTAATATTAGTATCAAACTTAATTATATCCAATTTATTAAGACAAAGTAACAATATGAATTTTTTTGAAAATGAGACAACAGAGAATGTATTATATGTGTATATATAATAAATTATAATTATGATCATAATAATCTTTTGTCCCTTAATCTAAGTCTAGTTTAATCATCAAGTAATTATAAATACTAGTCTGGATACATTTATCTGTAAAACTCCACACTTTTGATGATGGTCTCATCCTCATAATAAAAACTCTTAGATAAAATAAACTTGATTTCCTCTTACATGTTATTGGGCTTCTTCCTCTTTAGACAATTCATAATAAAAGTAGTTATCAATCCATTGTAGGATTTGTTTTGCTCTTAGAACAAAAAGTTCAAAATATCCTTAGTATGTTCGTATTCACAAACCTACTCCTGAAACAACTTCAATAACTCGTATTTATTGTTTTTTAATTATTGCTAATCCTTCTACAAAAACAATTTTATCAGAAAAACAGCCAAAGCCTTGCTCTCATCCTTTAGTATATAATGATATAGATCAAAATTGGATCTTCTTAGTATCATTTGAGTCAGCCTCTCTGTTGGTACCTTTTCAATTGTCTTTATCATAAAATCTATTTTCAATTAATCGAAGGTCTATGAAATAATCTAGTTTATGATATTTGAATCTCCCTCTATCTATTGTGTAAAATAACGATACAAGTAAACTCTAAACATGTCAAAAGCGAACTCCTCCGACTTTGGATATTCTAATGCAAATTCCACAAACAAATCCAAGAACTTCTAGTGCAACGCATCAGGATTATTTACACTCAAACCTATGAATTCGATTATCTATTTAACACTCATGTTACTGTTATTTTTTATCTTCAACAAATTGGCATAGATGGCATCAAGATGTTAAGGATAGTTTTATTGACAGTCTTGCAATAACTTGGCTAGAATCTTACAATGATGATTATGATTTTATTAACAAATTCCTATATAGAACATGAATGTTAATTATTATTGACAATCATTCATTGTAGATAACTAATTTATTTTTTATTGGGTTTCTTCAAATATGAAATCTTTGATTTCTGGCTTCTTTTTGTTAAAAATCAAAGTATTTGCTTATTTAACAAATTCTAAAATTGTTGAATGATTAATTTTCAATAATAATCTGAAACTTTCAAATTATAATGGATGATCTTCATTTAAAAATTTAAATACTAAATCTCTTAATTAAGTAAAATATATGGAGTACATCTTCTCATTTTACTTCAGAAGCGCTTATTCAGTGAATTCCTTTACTAATTCTATCAAAGAGACCCTAAATTAAGGAACAGAGTTTATTAGTTTCTCAGTTATATTTTACGTACTTTAATTAGACATCAAAAATGAAATTTTTTATTTAATCAACATACAAAATGTATCTAAATAATAATCATATCTTTTTTGATAATTCTATTCGATTTCTTTATAAAGAATACTCAAAAAGATATCTATTATTGATTGGATATCACAATTTGGTTCTTAAAATTAAATATTCAGACTTTATATAATCAGTTATCTATCTATTTATTAGATTTCATCACTTTAAATTTAGTTTTACTTTTTATCATAGTATTGTTTCAAAAATTATTTGATTTCATTCAAAGAATTAAACTTGATATTCTGATCTCTATTAGATATTATTTAGATTTCATTTTCCTTAATGTTTCGTTCCTCCTGTTTAAAATCAAAAGAATTGAAATTTTGGATAGCATCGATTGAATCATAGACTTAATATATTTTCACTTTTTTTAATTTGATTTCTTCAGGCAATTTCTCCTCAATTTATTATTTTTAACTTTCCATTTCCTGAGATGTTAAGTAAAAATAAAGGTTAGCTCTTTCAGCTTCACTCAGAGCAAATTCACTTGAAATAGCAGGGATTTAGAATTCTTTCAAATATTTGATAATTTCCTTTACTTTTTATTTCATAATTATTTATGATTATTAATTATAAATCATTCTCTCTTTTTCTTACTTATATTCTTCTTCTAAAACTATTATAATTCTTATGACCCGATTTTCTTAAAATCATCCTTACTCATAATCTTCTCAGCCTCCTTTTCATTCTCAACTCCGTCCAATAAATCTTTCATAGTTTAATCATCCTAATTAGAAACCGTACTTTCCTGATCATTCTTTTTTGAATCAATAGTATAATTATGATTATCAAAGTATCTGCATAAGTCAACTAATTCGTAAGCTCTTTATTCAACTAATTACATTAAAGTGATCTCTGAATTTGGGTCGTATTTAATCTATAATTTATTTGCTAACTCTAATAATTCCCTCTCATATTCTTTGATCTCATTTTCAGTCTATTGAATTTCTTTATCTGACTTCTCACTTCTTTCTAATTGTTAAGCAAATTTAAATTTTTCATCTTCAAATTCATTATCTTCTTTCTATTAATTCTTAGTGTATTAATTGATCTATCTTTATAATTCTTCTATTTATTTTTCTTCAAAATCAATTTAATCACTTAAAACATTTGCCTTTTTGAATAACTCATTATTTGTTTCTTCAATTGTCCTAAATGTATGAATAATTTCTTCAATGGAATTTAATCCTGTTTCTTTTTTCAATTTCTCAAACATCAATTCATAATTAGTTACATCTTCAACATCCTTCTGCATTTATATCTATTATTTAGGTTATTAGGATTCCTTTATTTATTAGGATTTGCTCTCTTACTTAATTTATTATTATTATTGCTATTATTAATTTTTTGGCGATTATTCCTCTGTCTCATCCAATCTATTGGTTTTTAATATTTATGTATATTCCTATTTATTAGATTCTACAACTTAATTAGCCTATCTAAATAGAATTACATATTCAATTACTCTTTCATCTTATCAAATTATTCCTAACACTGATTTAATTCGTGTTCTATTTACTTTCTAATCAATAATTATTTTTTAAATTCTTCCTCTTTTGCTCGAATATCACTTTCCAGTTTCTTAAACACATTGCTGTAAATGACTCTCTCCCTTCTTGCTGTATTTATTTACTCCATTAATTGATTGATTTCGGCTAATGATTCATTATGTTTTAGTTTAATTTATTCTAACTAACTAATATGTAATAAGTTTTTACCTTTCTAATGTTTTTTATTTCTTTATTAGACTTGGCAGCTATATTCCATCTGAATTACTCATTTTTTTTCTGTGATCTTGCAACTGTTATTCAGCATTCTAAATTAGCTGTTCTAAGTCTCGCTTTTATTAAAATTCTCATTTACTTATTTTTTGCTTTCAACTTCTATTTTTTTAGCATATGATGCACATTCTTCTTGTAATGAATTCATCTTTTCAAAATCATTATTTTTCGAATCTTATTATAAATCTTCTTGCAATGTTTGATTTTGCTATTTCATTTGATTAATATGTTCTCTATTATAGAAGGATTGGTTACATATTTGCTGCTAATTAATCTTTAGATTTACCTTTCATTAATTTTTATATTCTTTAAAAAATAACATTATTATTTAACAATTATTTTGATACAAATATAAACAATTCTTTTAATATTTTCAAGTCACGTATCACTATTATTCTATTAAATAACTCATATATAAAATATAATCCTAAAATAATTGAAGAATAAATACTTTATATCTTTCACCTTGATTCTCATTTCTTATAGGGTATAAATTTCAATTATTGCCCATAGTTGTTAACCTTTTTGTATCATTACTACATTTAATATTTTAATCTTTGATTTGATTAGAGTTATTTCAAACTATTTTTAGAGAAATTCTTACCTAAAACAAAATGCTTACAATAAAAATATTCTTGATTTTTACTTAGGAAAGTTGAAATTATTCTGATATAGGTAGATTTTTGTTAAAATTAATAGACAAAGTGATTTTAGTTTTATAACTCCAACTTGTATTTCTATAAAATTTTATACCATCTATTAATAAAGCATTTAAGTCATGAACTTAAAGTATTTCATAAAATAAATGTATCTAAAAAGTATGTTTCAACAAAATTGTTAACATTATTTCATGCTTGAAAACAATTTTTATTAATAGTTATATTATACCTAGTATATTGCTAAACAATCGAAAATAGTAGAATACACATTTCTTTATGTAAGAAATTTGCTATATTTCCTGCATGATACATTAGAAAAATAAAGTATATATTGTTTAAATTAGATTATCATTGCAATGTTAATCAGAATAGCAATTTTGATAACATGCATACAGTAGGCATCATATGGAATGAAAATCAGTTTATATTTTCTGTAAGAAATTAATTTCATTAATATAATTATCATAAACAAAAATGCTAAGCGATATCACTCGTAATTAAGGACTATACAAAGCACTTTTCTTAGTAATAGGAATAGTGCTTATTGTATTTTGCTTCTTTTTTAATGTTTCTGAATTGGAGACAACGGCAAAAGGATCATATTACCTCACCTTTTCATCAAGAGGTCATTCAAAATTAGATGGAACAGATTGTTACACAGATTTACCTGACTGCAATGGTGATTCTTTTTGCAAAACTGTCAAAACAACACCTTATTTAGGTGGATTTGCCTTGGGATTTGCCGGATTGGTTCTCTTGTTTTCATTAGGTGAATCCCTCATCAGTCGAGTAATTAAAAAGTATCATATTTGGATTATCCAATTGATATTCCTCTTCTTTAGTTGGGCATTGATATTGATCATTCCTGTTTTGTATTTGACAACAAAAGGAGAACATTGGAATTTGTGTTGGCTTCCAATAATATTTGAATTTGCAGCATTGATTTCAACAACAGTTTCAGCCTTTCTTTATTTTAAAAGTAATGAAAGCAAGGGGCAAGGACTATTATCATGATAATGTTATCAATCCACATTTAGATATTTTATATATTTTCTATATTTTTTCTATAAAATTCACTTTTTGTTTGAATAGAATTACATTTTATTTTTGCTAAAATGTCAAATTAAGCGAAGAGATTATGTTTGCACTCTAATAATCAAAATTAGTTTAGAGAGAGAGATGATAATGGATTCAAATCTATATAATGATATTTTAAATATAAAATTAAATAAAATTATGGTATTAACTTTAAATCCATAATTCATTATTATTTTGGTGAATAAAATAATGCAAATATGTAGAATGATGTTTACCATGAAAAAAAATATCTTATTTAAAGAAACTGAAATATGTTTTTGTTTGATTTATAATGAACAGAAATCAACATAAATATATATAATAAATAATTAATATAAATATTTGAATGTTATCTTAAAAATGATAAATTCCTCCTTGTTTAAATATATGGGAGATTCCATTAATAATAATAATAAAGATTTATAAAAAATAGTATAATATTTTACTTTTCATAAATTTTACAAATAAAGTATAATTACATCATAGAGCACCTATAAGAATTATATGTAAGGCTTATTTGATATAATTAACTCATTTAAAATTATTTCATTATTTGGCCAATTCATAAATATTTCAATATATTATGCACTCTGTCCATTAGAATCAAATTAGAACATACATTCGAAATTCTCGAGGTTGGATATCATAAATTTCTGTTGTTGCAAAAGTGCAAAAAGCAACTAAAACCTTTCTTTGTTGTAATCGTCTAAGTAAATGTAATAATGAGTTCTAAAATCTTTAGGAATATTAATAACTTTCAGTTGATATTGAATATTCGCATTCAAAGAACAATTTAAATAAATAGTATAATTTGAATTAATGGTAACTTCTAGAGAGCAACTAATTAAATCTAAAAGAGAGATGGATTTATTCCTCATTAAATTGCACTCTATTTTGTGCTTACGAGCTGTAAATTAATGTTAAATTAGGATGTCAGATTGCTTGACATCCAATTAATATTATTAAAATTTATTATGGATTGTCAATACATAATTGATCTTTTCTTCTTCTTAATTGATAGAGACTTCATACTGAATATTGAAGTTTTCATCAAGATACAGGGTTTGTTTTTTAAAGAATAATGTTTTCAATAAACTCTCAATTTCTGTGTTGCTCAGAGTATACTAATTTCTGAAGTTAATAATCTTTGTGATATCTTTGGAGATGGCAAACTGTTATGATAATTGAGGCATTCTATTATTTTGGACATTATCATAATTAGTAGTGTTGAGAGTCTTCAACTGATAATACCCATTTTCCCAATTGTTGATAACTTCTTAGAAGTCGTTATCAAAAATATTAATTAATCTCTGAGTAATCTTAAGTTGAAATTTATCCTTATCATAAAGGAGACTCTAATATTGATCAATAATTTTCCTAAGCGTTTAAAGAGTGTGATCCTAGAAATGTTATCCATATAAAAACTTCTTCCCTTTCTCTAATTTATGGGAATGTTATGCTTGATACTTAGTAATTGCAATGGTTTCTTTGTTGTAGAGATCTAAAATCTAAGTTTGCTTTTCATTAAAAAGAATCTTTTTGATTTTTTATAAATCTTTCACAGTTTTCAGGTAATTAACAACACTTAAGTCTTCCATTATAATAGTCTATGACTGTATATAGGTCTTAATATTCTAAATGCCTTGTTTGGTGAAGAACAGGAGGAAGGACTTCATGTTAGGGATTAGGATATTTTCTTAAGAGAATTTATTCTTTATGATTTCATTGAGAGATTTACAATTTCTGTCATAAGCAACAAAATTATAATGAACCTTAAACAACTTCAACCACAATTACTCATATGCGTAAATTGACATAAATAATGCTCCCAAAGTATACAAAGATCCAAATATTCCACCTACATAGGCTAAAAAGTCTCCGATACTTACATAATTACGTTTTGTATATAAGGAATATTAACTAGTTCTAAAGAACAACTTGGCTATTTCTTAATTTTTAGATATATCATACTCATGATAATTCTACTTTTCTGAAGTCTCTTATTTCTCCAACACTACATAGTTTTAATAATCATAATCAGTTCCATCATCAATAATTGATGGATTAGTGTAAACATCCCAATTACGAAGGAACATATCGACAGATCCGAATTATTTTAATGGATTCAATAACATGTAATAATCTCTATCTAGGAACCCAGTATAACTATTAGTTTAAGCTGTGTTGACATTTACGTTAGTGATCATCAAATTGATGTTAAGTTCTCCGTCTATGGAGTTGATGTAATCTATAGTCTCTTCAGTACTTGGACATTAATAATCATAATCATATTGTCCAGACTTACAAGGAACTGCAGAAATTTTCAAATATTGAAACAATTTGGATCCGAATTTGCCTTGTAAGGCATAAGTTGTATTTCCGAATTAGGGACATACCCAATCTGTATAGTTGTTGAACACCAACTATTCAAACATATCCACATTATAAAAATATAGACTTTCAAAATCTTTAATAGTGCATTTTGTAAAAGGGATAATTTAAGTGGTTTTATTGATCCCATTGGTTACAGAGATGTGTTCTAATTTAAATGTAAAGTAAGGTTTCTTTTAATAATGATTAATTTGATACATTAATATAGTCAGATTATCTAATTTATAATGCAAACATGAAATTTTATGAATTTAACTCAATTAATGATGGAGTATCACTAAATATAGTGTTTGTGGTCACAAGCAATTTGTTTTTCGATATTAATGAAACAAATTGTAGGATGATGTTGTAAGTGAGCCAACCGACCAAAGCTAAACTTACCAATCCTCCTAGTTTTGTTTAATATTTCAGCCGATTAAATCCAATTAATGTTATCGGAACTCCGAATATGTCTAATCTTCTTAAAATAGTTGATAATTTCATTAATGAGTATATTTATTATTATGTTTATGGTTTTAATCTCAAAAAAGGAATTTGAATTATTAAAATTATAAGTATTAATGTTGGTTCTATTCGCAATATTTACGATCACATATGCCCGTTTACTCCAAAGAGGCCCCCCTCCAAGGAATGACGGCAACAGGAAATAGCCCAATAGCACAATCAATGAATTATTTGAGAATTTAGCTAAGAACCTAGATTAGGATTAAAAAGATGAATTATCATTTATCAACAGCTATATATTTGATTAAGGATATCAATATTACTTGAAATAAAATCAAGAAAGAAAAGAAAAAATTCTGGTTGCCTTCTTAGGTATGGCTGAAGAATTAGATAAGTAAACAGAATAAGAAAATAAGAGAATTGAAAATGATATTGAATATTTTAGTTCCCTCAATAATACAGATAAAGATATCGTATTAACCAAGATTTCGAAAGACTTAGAAAGAAATTTAAATGATACTTCCAAATAGTTCACTAGCAAGTTGGCTTTGAACATTATACAAAAACAAATTGAAGATTTTAAGGCTAAACCAGATAGATCTATTTTATCAACATGGGATACAACAAGTTCTATTAAAAAGTAATAGAAAGAGGAATAAGAATTAGAAGAGATTGAATATCAAATTTAAGAGTTCTTAGATTAAGGATTATCAGATGAAGAAGTAAAAAAGAATATTACTCTATTTATTAATCAATACTTTAATGGAACTCAAAATCTGCCAAGTGATATAAACAACCTAGATTAGTTTATCAAAAATATTTCTCAACAAGAGAAATAAAAGAATTCTACTGAAACCTTCAGAAACATTAGACAAGAAATTAGATAAATTATAAGAGACTCCCTTAGAGAAGGAAAATCTGAAGATGAAATCAAGGAAACAATTCAACAATTTCTGAATTAAAAAGGCTTCTAGGACCTCAATGAAAATTAAAAAGAATAGATTCAATCAATAATTTCAAATGAGTTTATAAGATTTAAAAGATAGGAAGACTATATAAATACCGCATCTTAAAATTCTACTTAATCAGAAGATGACAACGAAGATGATGATCCTGTTGATACAACTACAAATGGCAACTCAGAAGAATAACACACCTTAATTTATGTTGGAGTATTCGGTACACTTATATTTGTAATAATTCTTCTTTTTGTAATTAGAAGGTACAGGATGAAGCAAAACTAAAGCAAATAAATTAGATTCAAAATCCAAGAGAGTTAACAAGAAGTAGAATAAATGGAATGAATTCATTACAATATAACCGATATTAATTTGTTTATCTCATTCTATTATTATAATAATATTATCGAATATATAATTAGAAGGAAATGAGTGATCTGAGAGATTTTGATATCAAACAGTTACATAACAATATCTAAAGTTGCTTCTAATATTTAGACAAGTAGATATATAGAGCGATGAATGTAGCACCAATTAATAATACTATAATTATTGAAAAACCTAATACAGCAATGTATTTATAAGATGATTTCAAGAGCTCATGAATATAAAGAATTGTAACATCATGTGAAATAACTATAAGTAAAATACGATGAGGTATGTTACAAGTACATGTAACTTTTAACGAAATACCAAAAAATAAAGATTACACTAAAATTCTAACAAGAAGAAATAGATCATTCTTGTGAATTAATCAAAGAAATGAAATTAACACACCTTCAAAGACCTGAAGTTATATAGATACCTGTGTATGAATATTTGAGGGAGTTTACAAAAAATAATCATAGCCAATTAAGTAATTTTTTATAAATATTGATTCATACAAAAAAGATGGATCTCTCAATGATAGAGTTGCTTTAAAATATTGAGAAGTATTATAGACCCTAAAATAAAATGTTATTTTAAGACAAATATGTTTATCCAAAGGTGCCATTGAGGAAAATAAGGGAACGAATACTAAAGACATTGCCTGATCAGGCAGTTTCATAAAATATAGTGCCTGAAAGATCAATATCCTTTTAATGAAATTTTTGGTATTTTTCATTATAATTGATTATTTATTTATATTATTTTAATGTCAGAGGAAGGGAAGAATCTGACAGACAAGTCATTGGAATCCAACAATTAAAATTCTCTATATCGATTGATATATTTGATGGTTCGGGATTAAAATTAATCGATTATAGTGCACAGCGTAGCCATGTTAATCACTCTGATGCAAATTCATTATTTCAAATTCCATCATATGGTATAATAATTATTGTATTGAGATTGTATCAGTATGGTAGGACAATAATGCAGACATATTGACTTAAATCTTTGGATATTTTAATTTTACCCATTATTTGTTAAACTAGGATTATAGTGCAGTATAAATATTAATTTATGTTTCTATTGCATTGTTATGTTTTTGGGTGTTCTTGTTTTTAATATCAATCATATTTATAGTCAACTAGAAAGATCCAGTATAGTTATTAATCAACATATTAAAATACCTAACCTTTGTGTTCAGTACAATACTGCATATACCTATGTTATTCTTATTCACAGTAATACTTTATTAAGACTATGTAGTTTTCAATCAGTTGTACAAATGGATATATGGATGACTTTTCAAATCAAAAATGTTGGCAAGGATTGTTAGTCATAGATCAAATAATCTCAATTATTGGATTAATAATTCTATCCTTCATGTGCTCAGCAGTTAATTATTTATTTTTTGATGGTTCTTTTGATTAGGAGAAGGCATTATCAAAGAGAAATGGAAGGTGTGCAACCTTGACCTCAACTCATTTTGGCATTGTTGTGCTTTTGTCTATGTTACCACACAATAGTAATTCGTAGGTGTTTTTTGAAGTCTATTAATTGATTGGATCAGTGGTTTGCTTTTTATATGCAAAGAGAAATGATGCATATAATAACAGATTAATGTAGAAGCTGTTTTTAACATTTCTAACTTTAGAAATGTGGGCTTCTCTTATGTTGTGTATATCTAATTTAGTGGAGAAGAGAATCATGGTTGGATCATTATATACTTGGTTATTTTGTTTGCCTTTTGTATTCATGATCTAGCTATTGCAATAATAGAAGAGGGAATAGTGTTTGATGATTTATGTAAATAAGTTTGATAATCCTGTTTAATTGGTGAATCACGTACATGAAGTCATCAAATTAGTGGAATATGATAAAAAAAGATTGCCATAAGGGTAGTTGTTGAATGGTTACATTGAATTTCACAATTAAACTTGTCCAAATCCATTGTGTCCATTAAAAAAAGTGAAATTCTCATTGAATATGTTCAAAGCAAAAAATGAATTGGTCAATAAAACAGACAAAAGACATTAATTAATCTATGATACCATGACAAGGCTGTTCATTATGGGAATAGGGAAATTTCCAACTGATGTATTCATTCGAATAGAATATTCACTGTTTACATTGAGGATATTGAAATCCAAACCTTAAGCTTTGGAAGAATTAAGCAATATTGAAAAACTAAAGACATCTTTTGATGAGAAATACATAGTTTTTTATATAAAAAGTGTGATTGAGGCTGAGATATCTGAATTAAGTGGAGAAGGATAGGATTTCACAGAGTAAAGAGACTTTGATGAGAAGTTTGGATCCTTTAAATAAGCTATGGAGAGAAGTGTGAGTTTATTGATGGAGTTCTGGTCTTAATTTGCTGATGAGAAACCTGATTTGGTTAAGTTGTATGAGATTGGATCAAAATTGTTTCCGATCAGAATGTATGTTGATACAACTTGGAAAAGACTTTAGAGAATCTAAAATCAATAATTACCATAAGCATTAAGATTATATTCGAAATATTTAATTGAAATATTCAACGATCGAATATCAGGATTTGATCTACTTGAATAGGCTAGAAAAATAGAGAGTTCGTTTGCTCAAAGAAAAGCTTTTAAATTGGGAATGACATCAAATTTGAATGTTGATGGACAAGAAGATGGATGCGTTTTTATTTCATTGGAAGAGGAGAAGTTTGGTTAAATCTATGCAATTAATATGGCTGCTGCTTCATTGTTGGGATTCGATAAAAATGAACTAATGAATAAGAAAGTGAATAATATTATGCCTTCATTATATGCAAAGCATCATGATGACTTTTTACGGAGATTCTTGGATACAAATGAAGCAACTCTATTGAATAAAGAAAGACTGTTATTAGGAAAGCATAAGAATGGATATTTGTAAGGGATCAATGTGTTGTTGCGACCTGTATATCATGTATTAAAAGAAGGAGTAGAGTTTGTAGGTACGTTCAAAAAGGAAAAGAGAATCAAGGATGTAGCATATTTAGTCTGTAATAAAGAGTACGTTGTTGAAGATATTTCAGGGGGTTGTATAAATTTACTGGGGTTGGATATAAAGTCTTTATAAATCTAAGAAATTCATCTTTTTGATTTGTTCCCTGAGATTAAGGAATGTTATGGGGATTTTAAATTGAAATAAGGAAAATCGGTTGATTTTGTACTACCAAAAATCTTAGATGATCATATTGCATTTGGAGCATCAGATACAACTATTAAGTTAAGTGTATCAATTTTGGATATTAATTTTCTCATAATGAAGAATTCAGAAAATGAATAAGGTTTGGCTGGATTTTAAGTGAGAGTTGAAAGATAAATTGATTTGTCGACTTCAAATATTAAATAATTGTAATAGAAAGCTTCTAAGAATCAAAACTTTTCATTTAGATTACAATTTCAGCAAACTGGAATGCATTTCTATGGTGAATTTACTGATGCTAATTACAGCGAGATGATTACTCATATACAAGATTAGAGTATGTTTACTAATTAAGAGTATGATCTGAAAAGTAAAGAAGTTGAAAAGAATGAGGATGTCATTGATTACTCTTAAGGCATCAGGGTAATGAGATTGTTTGAGGGTGTGATCTATGATATAGAAAAGTTTTAATCGGATGCAGATATGGAAAGTTTCGAGGAAATTCAAATCAAGAAGGAGGAATAAATGAACCAAGAGAGTGATGAGCCAAATGAATCTGGATATTTTAGATCATCTAAAGAATTATAAGAGACTTTAAATGCATAAAGTGAAAGTAGAACAATCAGATGGTTATATTACATCTCATTTCTGCTTACTGTTCTACTGAGTATCTTATGTATATTGAACAATGTCTTTGAGAGAGAAGAAATCAACAATTAGAATTCTGATTGGAATATGATTATCAAGCAATCTGACATGATAATATATCTCAATGAAATTGTATTGTATTCAAGAGAATTAATGTTACTGAATATTGGATTGTCCTTTTACAAAGAAGACAATCTATTATCTAATTTGAATGAAAGTATTTAGCAATTTGATTCTATGAGTAAGGACATCTTCATGAAGATTTCCTTCAATTCAGATGTAATGATGAATACTCAATCAGGAAAAGAAACAAGTACTTTGGAGTAGGCCAGTCAGCAAATTGTAAGTAAATCCCTTAACATTCAACAAGTATACTCACAATTAAATGAAAATTAAATAGACTATTATTATGTGATCTACAATTCATTAAATGATTTCATCCGTGCTTTATTAGATATGTATATGAATACCATAGATTATTCTTACGACCAAACCAACAAATTATATAGTGATATTTTAGTGATTCTCATATTATCTGCCTGTTTAACATTCATTTCTTCTATTATCTTGACTTGCATACTAACAAGCACTCTAGATAAAAGGTAAGAAATCTTAAGTATTTTTTTGGATATCCCAGAAAAGACAGCTAAATTATTTTATTCGAAATGTGAAAACTTTTTATCCTAAATATCTTCAAATGAGGATGATGAAGTATTAAGTGAAATTGATATCATTGAGGAAAAAGGCAATGATGAACCTGTCTCTCTTTTGGGTAGAAAGAGGAAGAGGTTCAAGAATAATGAGAATAAGCACATGGGATTTTTTGTTAAGATGATATTATTAGCTTCTGTTATCGAGTCTTACTTTATCATGATCTATTTCTTAGATTAGAACAATGCTGATCAAAAATTAAATATCTTAAATGAATTCAACCAAACATCCCTAAGTTCCAGCTATTACTCTATTTTGGTCAATTCACTTAAATAATACATTTACAATGACAACCTCAATTTAATGAATTAAGACAGCAACACCACTATGGTTGAGTTGATTAATAATGTCTATGAGATTGATACCCTCTATCAGAAATTACATGCTGTCAATGTGGAATACAATGATATTTCTTACATTGATTATTACAACTCTATTATGTTTGATAATCTATGTGCGACGATTACTTTGCAAGAGATCACATGTGAAACCTTTGCTAATGGAATTTTAGATCATGGATTAATGACAGCAGTGTCTAGGCATTTTCAAAACATTCGAAAACTCTACAACACCTATTAGAATCTCAACCAAAATGGCTCCTTAGATTTTCCTTGGTCGAATTATACTCTTTTAGAACTGTCTGCTGATCCTAAGAGAAATAAACTACTCAATTTGCTCAACACTCCAGAAAGCTATGAAATAAGTAAATTAATATTTGTACTCTAGACAATATGTAATTTTATGTAATTAGAGATGCATTTACATTGTTAAAGAATAAATACTTGGATATTACAACAACCGATCAAGAAAATTACATTGTTCAGCAGCTAATACTAATGATTTTCTTCTTGTTAACATTGATATTGGCATTGCTGTTCTGTTGGAACCCCTTCCTACGAAAATTAAACAGAGAAGTAATTTCTTATCCATAAGGTAGATCTGGTCAACCAAATGCTTGCTGACCTTCATCCCCATCGATGAAATAGCCAAAATTAGAACTATAAATAATTATATTAGGACTGTAATATTGGAATAAAACATTTGAAATATTAATATTTTATATAAATTATATCAATCTTAAGCATCACTATCAGAATATTGAGGAGTGTACAATGCATCCCATCCCAATAAAAAAGGCAAAGAAAACTAGAATTTCATTATTATATAAATTTTACATTGATTAATTCTAATGCTGTTACATATTCTGCTTGAGTCAGATTAATCTTAAATGGATTGATTTGTTTCTCTTATTCATCCTCTTAAGAAATTGAAAGGTATATGTCTTATGCAGTTTTATTGATCTTTAAAAGTTTCTTATCATTTGCTTGTGCTTGATATGCTTATTTGTTATAATTAAGGAATACTGATAAGGAAATTCGAAGCTTCATCATATGCTTTATTTTTTGTGACCAACAATTACCCGATCTATTTAACACCCAAACTATAATGTTTCTTTTTGTCCCATTCCAAGTGATGATTCCCTTCTTTTTAACGAATCACTGGGACCAACTCAAAGAGAATCCAACCAGGTTTTTGAATTGCAAAGTAATTATTTTTCTCAACATAGGTAGCTTTTATCGGAGTCATCGAAAACATTAAATTTTCATTCCAAACAGTGAATGCCTTTAAGATCACAGGTTTTTCACAATTAATTTCTATGGTGATATGTGATTGCGATACTTCTAGTCTCAAAGCTGAAACAATGCTTTAATATTTTTGAGAATTACATAATATTAATTATATGAGTACAGATCAATCGTCAAATTCATCAACTTAAAAAGGCAAATCGCTCTCTTCCATAGATACCACCAGATCTAAATACGCTTAGGAGTTAGGAATTCATTAGCTCTTACAAAATGCTTTCCAAGACATGGGTACCCTGTGTCCTTATCAAGTTTAGATGATGAAAATACAGATATGAAAACATTGCTACCCATTTCAATCTTATTGGAAGAGATGAAAAGCGATCATTCAAGCACAAGAACATACTGTTTGCAGAACCTCTCGACTATTGCCTTGGTATTGGGTCCTGCCAGAGCAAAAGGCTTGTTGGGCGGATTTATTTCAAATTTACTTAAGGATCAAGAAAAGGCTGGTTTAAAAATTAACTTAATATTTTAGTCGAGGATGTTCCAGAAGAATTATAAGTAATGCTTACATTACTGGAATCCATGCCAAAATTAATAAATCTAATTGGAGGTCCAGAAAACAGTTTAGTGTTGTTAAAACCATTACTTGAAACCATTGGAGATAGAACAAAGGAAGAAACAAAAAATATGTACATAAAAATCATGAGGGATATTGGAAAGAGATTATTGAAATAATAACACTTATTTGAAGAATGTGTTACTTAGAGAATAATAGAGGCGAAGGATGGTGATATAGATGAATAATGTGCAGCTGTTACATTGATTGCTAATCTCTATAATCTAGTTTCTTAGTAAGTATTACAAGAATGGATGGAGTACTTTAACAATTTAATGTTGAGTAATGAATAAAATGTCAGAAAGAGAGTAGTTCTAAGTATAAAAGAATTTGCATAATGGGCAAGCAATCCTGAAGAGCATAAGTTTTGTATTGAATTAGCTGATAACGTCTTTACAAATGGGAAGGATTTTAAATCAAATCTATTCTATAGTGTCCCTGCTTTAATCAAATTTCAAGGTTATCAAGAGTACCTAGGTAAATTATTTAAGATGGATAATATTAATGCTTATAATTGCTTTTTAGAAATATGCATTGAGTCTTTATAAGTATTATAGAATACTGCGGATAGCAAAATATTTATTGAAAATTTTATTAAACTATTTTCTAAAACAGAATTGGAGTTGAAATAAAAGTTATCAGTATATTGTGGAAAGCTAGTTGTCTTTATTAAAGAATCAAAGACGATTTACAAAGGAGTAATTTTAATCATTAATCTTAGTATCTTGTTCAAATTCAGTAATACATGACATAGTTAGAATAGGAAAAGAATTTCATGATAAAATAGAATTTGGTAGAGTCAGTTATCCTTATATTGAACCAAGCAACTGATAGAAGAATATATTACCAATAAGAAGAAATCTAGTATTTCTTAAGATTTCTGATGAATCAATTGATGAGTGGTGACACAGATCTTAAATTTAAATTTGTGTCTAAACAGAAATCGTTTAACATTATTCTGTAGTTCATTTCGGATAATGCCTTCGCTTAAAATGAATCAATATCAATAGTTAAGAACTTATTACAAGTCATAATCAATATTGAATAATGTAAGAATTGGAGAATGAGACAATAATGTTTGATGTCATTGTAAATGGTATTTCGTATATTCAAATACACTAGTTCCTTACCAACTTATAATAATTTTAAATTTTTAAGACTTTCCAATCTGATGATCTAGAAGTTCAATTAATTAAAAGACTACTCTAAGATAGAATTTCTGCAGTTCGAGAAGAAGCAAGCAAGGTATATAGACATAAATTATATAGACTCTTTTGCAATTATTTAGATAATTAAAGGAAAACGATATGGTTGAAAAAGGGAAGAGAGTAATAGATTAATTAAGTGATTTACTAAAACATCCAAACTATTTGGTTAGAGTGAACTTTGTCTTGGGATTGGGGAATGCATTCTTTTTGGGAGAACACACATATAATGTGTTGAGATAATTGAAAAATGATGTTCCAAATGTAAAATTGGCTTTATTGGAAGTCCTATATAATAATAAAAAATGCAAGCAATTAGATTTAATTCCTATTAACGATTCGGATTAGGATGTAAGAGATGTTGCATAAATTATATATTAATAATTCAAATGATCAATTTTGGACAACACATTTCTCTTTCTTAACTGATCTATGAATATACGGTTCTAGTTTACTTACATTAATTCTTCATCCTCGTCAATAATGTCTAATAGTAGGGATGTATAAAAGTGATTCAGATTGTATATATGTAAGTAGTTATTGGTAGCCACAATAGGTGCACAAAATCTTATGGGTCTGATTATATGTCTCATCATCTTGATTGTTCTGAATATTTAATACATATTATATTTATAAATATATTATTTAATTATAGTTATGTTTTTATTACAATGCACGCCTTCACTTAAACATGCACACTTCTATATCTCATTTTGAGTAATCTCATCACATGCAACTAAATGAATAAATAAATCAATAAATCAATTTATATTTTAAATGATACAATGTGAATTTCATATCCAATCCTTGCAAGTAGAATACAATTTCTTCAAATTTTATCATTGTAACGACTTGTCTTACTTCTGTAAAATATTTAAGCTTCTAATAATTATAATAAACTATTTCAATTTTCTAAACATTTAATTTACTTTAATAATATTATTATGATTATCAACTCCTTAAATAAGCTTTCTCATTTACAATAAGGGATTCAAGAATATTAATTACATATAATTATTTTCACTAGGAATTTAGTGAAACAATTTGAGTAATACATAGTCTGAAATGAAGGCTTAATAAGATCCCCTATTTTTTCATCAATTATCTTTATTTTCAAAGATAGACAGGCAATTTTAGTATATATTTCAGTGGAATAATTGTTTTTATGGAATAGAATGATAAATATATTCATTAATTAATTTGATTTGAGATATATGGATTTCCACTTATATATTAAATCTTATTCAATATTTTTTATAACTAAAGCCAATGAATTTAATAATGATGAAAAATAAAGCAATTAATATAAATTACATTATGATAAAAACATAATTAATCGACCTTCTAAAATTAACCGAAGAGGATCTCAAGAAGACTGTGATTGTCAAACAACATCCCTAGTATGAACAAATCTTCTTCATGATTTTAAATCAAAAAGCCAATACCTTTACCCACAAGTTTGTGAGAGAAATTCACGAGGCATTGACTTTAATTGAATAGCACGAAGGACACACAGCCTTAATTACGACATCCTTTCATCCCACAGTGTTTAGTGGAGGCTTAGATCTCAATGTCACAGGAGTACATATCTACATATAATATAGAATATGAATATTTTCGATAGAAATAATTTTGTTCTTGAATTTATAAGGTTATTGGGGAGATTATTAAGATATCCAGTACCAACAATAGCTTTAGTAAATGGTCATGCAGTGGCTGGGGGTTGCATGTTCATGTTTGCTCACGATTGGAGAATAGCAAGAGCAGAGCCTAAAAAAGCACATTGTTCATTACCAGAAATAGAGATTGGTTATAATTGTATCACTATTTCTTAGGTATGTATCTACCTCCAGGAATGAATGCAGTCTGTCAGTGTAAGCTAACACCCAATGTCCATAGAGATTTATGCTTATTAGCTAGAAGATATGATCTTGGTTCTGAAGGTTTACAGTATTAGATGGTGGATGGATTAGCAACAGAAGATAAAATTGTTGAAGCTTCAATCTAAAAAGCCTTGGCTGTGGCTAAATATGGATAGGATAAAGAAAACTTTACAAAGATAAAGGAAGAAATGTACAGAGATGCCATTAAGGCTTGCTTCACTAGATAAATGGCTCCAGGTAATGCCTACGATCTTGGATTGCCAAGATTATGATAATTGTTCATTTATTGATATTAGAAATAAAATCAACTCATTTTTTTCTAAATCTTCTTACTGTGTATCCAACTACAATAGCCAAAAGCAGAAACCATAGATAATTCTTCTTGCCAGTCTTATTTTGCTAAGTTAAATCTTCAGGCTATGCTTAGACTTCAGGAACATTTTCTTAATTCTAAATGTCCTACCCTCTTAATTCTAGATCAGCATCCTCCATTCCCCTTTCTCCTTAAGGGAATTTATCTTGTTCATTATTGTTAGCTGCTTCGTCTGGATTTTTTTCTATTTATTTCATTATTTCTTCCTTAATTTCTTGTTATTTTTAGTTTTCATTATCCTATTTCTGTGGTTACACCTCCTCTTCCACTTATAATGGCTTACTCTCTTCCATAAAATTCTCATTATTTTAATTTACTTTTTATTCAATTTATGATAGATCCTCAACACTTTTTTCCTTTTCCTATTCAGCCACAGGATTTTATTCTACTAATTATTCTTGTTACTCATCAATTTGCTAGACATCTTCTTTTTGATTTTAATCTTATTTGTTATCTTCAATTTCTTCTATTTAGTTTTTAATCTCTACAGTTGATTCTATTTTCTCAATTTCAACTGGTTCATCTAAAATAATGTTTTAGGATTAACTATGAAATTCATCTAATTTAGGTTATTTAAATAAAACTAATTCTTCATTATCTATTGGCATCTTTTAAATAACTTCTTCATCTTCAATTACTGGATATGAGTGTATTTGATTAAGTTATTCAGGTTGCTTACTTAAATCCTCTTCTTTATTTTCAACCTACTAGATTACCTCTGGCTCATCGGAATCTTGCAATTCAGGCTTTTATTCTAATTAGGCTTGAGGTTAATCATTATTATCAGCCTAGCTTGCCTCTTGTATTTCTTCAAGCTACGATTCTTATTATACAGGAACATTTTCAACTTCCTAAATTTCTTAAATCTCTTCTTACTTATTGGAATTATCTTTTTCTAATTAATTTTCCTATTCTAAATTCTCAACAATCTCTTATTCTCCCTATTAATTTGTAGAGCAAAGTTAATCTATTTGATCATCATTTTAATTTATTTACTTTCCTTATTATTATTCTTCTTATTCTTATTGAGTTTTTTCAACTTAATCTGTGTTTTCTTAAGCCTCCTTTGTAATATCTGCTAAAATATTTGTCATTTGACCTAAACTAATATGTTTTGGTTAAGCTTCATCTTTTTTATCATTTTATTGTTCCTCCTTTGGCTATTCTTCAAGCTCATTGATTTTAGGTACTTACTCTTCTTATATTTCATGATTCTATTGATTTTCTTACTATGGTTGGTCATTCTACTCTTGCACTTGTTCAATTATAGCTACTTCATTTGATGCCTATTAAATTTGAATATCTTCAGCCTCTTGATTTTAAGGAACTTCAACCTACTAATTTTTAAGTTCATCTACATCTTCAATTTCTTCGATTTATTCTATAATTTAAGGTGATGCTTCATAGTCATTTTTTGATGAATCATTTTAATTTAAAACATCTGAATTTGAACCTATATTTTAAGCGGATTTAATTTCTTAAGCTGATTAGATTTCTTAAGATGAACTCATTTAATCTTATTCTGATTCTTAACCTTATTCTGTTAATTAATGGCTGCCTTCTTGTTTTGCTCCATCTTCAGATTGATCCTACCCATGAGATTTCTTTAGATCATTTAAATGCTATGCATTAGAGACTACTTGTGCAAATCCCTTAACACTTTTGATGCCTTTAACTATTTTAGCAGTAGTAGATTTAAGTTTCGAGGCCAACTCAGTAAACTTATGTACATTGTTAACCAAATAATCTTACAAGGAAGTCAAGTCAGATTCTTTTGCATTTGTAAGATCTAATTATCCTTATGCGATTTGTTTGGCAACATTAAGCGTTGCGTGCACTTTGATTTCTTCATTCTTTTGTTCTTCTGTCAAATCATGTTATTGGGATTTATCTATTTGCTTCAACAAATCTTGACTTATAAGCTAGATCTAACCAAACTCATGTTGTGCATCTTGAAATTTCACCTAGGCTTAACTAATAAATGCTTATTGAACAGAGTTGACTATCATCTAATAAATATCTTATGCATTATGCGTTGGTTAAATTTGATGATTCTCCATAATAACAGTTTTACCTTTCTCCACCAAGAAGAGACTACTTGCAATGACACTGTTTACTGGTTTTTTGGATGTTATAGTGTAGAAGACAGGAAGATTTATTAAAATCATTTCTCCGCTCACAAGTAGTCGTTTTCGAATTTCCCAAAAGATGTGTTCAAATTCCGATTGAATTTACTAAAAACTTTTAGTATTCGATCTTGTGATTTAGAATAAAGGAGGACAAGTTGGATCATGATTGTGAATCATGCTTCTTAATGTATTACTAATTGAATTTGGAAATTAATCTCCTACTGCCACACTTATAAATTAGATTAAGTATTTGTGTCTCATCCTCTCTATAAGCACCAACAATTTATCCAAATCAAATTCCTCCTTCCCGTCACTAATGAAAACTAATGTAATATTTTTCGGAATTTTTGCCTTCTCACTGAGCAGCATTTGAAACATGTTTGTTAAGGTATTTGTAATATTTCCTGATCCTGCCTATTTGAAGGGCTCCAGAGGGTACAGATCCTTGGCCCATTAATATTCTAATTTTTTCTTCCCCAATTCATTGAAGACTGTCTTGTATGCATTCACAGCACGAGGATATTCTTTATGCATCGACCCAGTCCCATCAAACAATGTGATTGGAAACGATTACACCTTCTATGCTTCAGGAGCACGGTAAATGTAAAAACTCATTAGAAACTATTATTTTACTTATAAATTTATCTTGGCTTTCAAAATCCTTATATAATCAAAAGACTGATTAAGAAACTATTGATTAAAATACACATATAAAAATTACAAATTATTATTTTTTATCAAAATTTTTAATTCTCCTTACTGATATGTTAATAAGGAACCCTCCTATTTTAACTTAGAATTTATATCATTAACATACAAGAAATAAGGAAAAACTAACAATCCATTAAGTATTTATATAAATAATAGGAATAGATATGTAGATTACAACACTTTAATCAAAATTAAATGGAAATTAGTAATCTGTTTATTCTCAATTAAACCGAATAATCAATAAATGGAAATAATGTATAATTATTGATTTTAAAATAAAATAATGTATGCTCAAAATTAAATACTTGATTCCCTCCCTCTCTTTTGATAATGTTCAGATGGTCATTCTTTCTTTCTTGTTACTACTTGTCATAATATTACAAGGAATTAATTAAAGTGCTGATTTAATATTAATTTTTTAAATAAATAGATATGAATCTGATTCGATAGAGTGACACTATTGAGGACAAACTCAAAAAGTGGCAATAGGTTCAAAAAAAGAAGTATGCCGAAAAAAGAAAGTTTGGGTTTGTTGAAGGACAGAAAGAGCCTCAACCTCCTGAAATTTTAAGGTAGAAGATTTTATTTATGAAAATAGGAAAATTTTTAAGGATCATGGAAATTTAGAATCTAAGAAATACAGACAAGATAAGAGAGTATATTTGGGTGCATTAAAGTATATGCCACATGCAATTTATAAATTATTGGAGAATATGCCTATGCCATGGGAATAAGTAAGAACTGTGAAGGTTCTATATCACATTACAGGATGCATCACCTTTTGTTATGAGATACCAAAAGTGATTGAACCTGTGTATACAGCTCAATGGGGTACCATGTGGGTCATGATGAGAAGAGAAAAGAGAGATAGAAGAAATTTCAAAAGAATGCGATTCCCCCCATTTGATGACGAAGAAATCCCTTTGGATTACGGAGACAATATCTTGGATGTTGAACCTTTGGAACCCATACAAATGGAATTGGATGAAAGAGAAGACAATGCTGTTTTTGATTGGTTTTATGATCATCAACCATTGAGATATACCAAGCTATTGAATGGACCGAGTTATCGATCTTGGTAACTAACATTAGAAGTTCAACAGAATCTATTTAGATTGGCTAATCAATTGTTGTCAGATATAGTTGATCAGAATTACTTCTATTTGTTTTAACTTCAATCCCTTTACACAGCTAAAGCATTGAATATGGCTATCCCTGGAGGACCCAAATTTGAACCTCTCTATAGAGACATTTTTGAGGAGGATGAGGATTGGAATGAATTCAATGACATTAACAAGATTATTATTCGATAATAAATAAGAAGTGAATACAAAATTGCCTTCCCATTTCTATATAATTCAAGACCAAGAAGTGTTGCTATTGCCCCATATCATTATCCAGCAAATGTGTTTATTAAGTAAGACAACCCTGAAATATCAACATATAATTTTGACCCTGTTATAAATCCAATATCTGCTTATAGAACATAGAGTAGAAAGATTGATGTTCAGATTGATGATAGTGAATTGGATATTGAAATAGGAGATGGATTTGTACCATTATTAAGTGAGACAGAATTATCTGATGAATAAACAACTGCCTCAATTGCTCTCTTATGGGCTCCAGCTCCATTTAATCAAAGAACAGGCAAGACTAGAAGAGCCTTTGATATACCTTTAGTAGCACCTTGGTTTAAGGAGAGATGCAATCCATAGTATCCTGTTAAGGTTAGAGTTTCATATTAAAAACTATTGAAATGTTGGGTATTGAACAGTCTTCACAAAAGAAAGCCAAAGTGTCAAAATAAGAGAAATTTATTGAAGGCATTTTAAGCAACAAAGTTCTTTTAATTAACAGAGATAGATTGGGTTGAATGTGGTCTCTAGATAGCACGTTAAGGTTACAATATGTTGAATTTATTGATTCATAGAAAAAACTTAAATTATTTGCATTTAGATTACAATTTCCAATTGAAACCAGTAAAGACATTGACAACAAAGGAAAGAAAGAAGTCAAGATTTGGTAATGCATTTCATTTGTGCAGAGAAATTTTAAGATTAATGAAGTTGGCATGTGATAGTCATGTATAATACAGATTAGGTAATATTGATGCCTTTTAATTGGCTGATGGATTATAGTATGTATTCTCACATGTTGGTTTGGTGACAGGTATGTATCGTTACAAATACAGATTGATGAGATAGATTAGAATGTGTAAGGATTTGAAACATGTCATTTATTATCGTTTCAATACTGGTCCAGTTGGTAAGGGACCAGGAGTTGGATTTTGGACCCCTATGTGGAGAGTATGGTTATTCTTTTTGAGAGGAATTATCCCACTGTTAGAGAGATGGTTAGGCAATTTATTGGCTCGTACATTCGAAGGTAGACATTCAAAAGGAATATCTAAGACTGTTACCAAATAAAGAGTTGAATCTCAATTTGATTTGGAATTAAGAGCTGCTGTGATGTCTGATATCATTGATATGATGCCAGAAGGAGTGAGAGCAAACAAAGCTAAGACAATATTATAACATTTAAGTGAAGCTTGGAGATGTTGGAAAGCCAATATTCCATGGAAAGTTCCAGGGTTACCTGCTCCAATAGAGAATATTATTTTGAGATATGTGAAATATAAGGCTGACTATTATACAAATTCAGCTTATTATAATAGGGAACGTATAAGAAGAGGGGCTACAGTTGATAAAACAGTATGTAAGAAGAATTTGGGAAGATTAACTCGTCTGTTTTTGAAGTAAGAATAAGAGCGATAGCATAACTTTATGAAGGATGGACCTTATTTAACAACCGAGGATGCAGTTGCTATTTATACAGCCTTAGTGAGATGGTTAGAAAGCAGAAAGTTCATTCATATTCCCTATCCACCTGTGAATTATAAACACGATACTAAATTATTCTTGTTGGCTTTAGAAAGATTAAAGGAGGCTTATTCAGTCAAGAGTAGATTGAATCAAAGTTAAAGAGAAGAACTAGCATTGATTGAATAGGCATATGATAATCCACATGAAGCATTGAGCAGAGTGAAGAGACATCTTTTGACTTAAAGAGTGTTCAAAGAAGTGAGATTAGAGTTTATGGATCTTTATTCTCATTTAGTGCCTGTTTATGATGTTGAACCTTTAGAGAAGATCACAGATGCCTATCTAGATTAATATTTGTTTTATGAAGCAGATAAAAGAAGACTCTTCCCTAATTGGATCAAACCAAGTGATAGTGAACCACCTCCTTTATTAGTATATAAGTGGTGTTAAGGAATTAACAATCTTCACGGAATATGGGATGTATCGGATGGTTAATGCGTAGTGTTGTTGGAAAGCAAATTTGAGAAGGTTTATGAAAAGATCGATCAAACATTATTAAATAGATTGCTGAGATTGATTGTTGATCACAACATAGCAGATTATATGACTGCCAAAAATAATGTTGTCATCACTTACAAAGATATGAATCATACAAATGTTCATGGTGTTTTACATGGAATTCAATTTACTAGTTTCATAATGTAATTTTATGGTATGGTTTTGGATTTATTGATTTTGGGTTTAAATAGAGCCTAAGATTTGGCTGGTCCATATAACAATCCTCATGAGTTCATGACTTATTCTAATATTTAATAGGAAATCAGACATCCAATTAGATTATATTGTAGATATATTGATAAGATATTCATGGTATTCAGATTTACAGCTGAGGAGGCAAGAGAATTAATACAAAGATATTTAACAGAGAATCCAGATCCTAATAATGAAAATATTGTTGGATATAATAATAAGAAATGCTGGCCTAAAGATTGTAGAATGAGGTTAATGAAACATGATGTAAATTTAGGAAGGGCTGTCTTTTGGGATATCAAAAATAGATTGCCAAGATGTTTAACAACATTGGCTTGGGAACACTCTTTTGTTTCAGTTTACTCGAAGGACAATCCCAATTTCTTATTTAATATGTGTGGATTTGAGGTGAGAATCTTACCTAAGATAAGAGGAACTCAAGAAGAATTCTCAGAAAAGGATGGTGTTTGGAAATTACAAAATGAATCAAGTAAGGAAATAACTGCTGTTGCATTTTTAAGAGTGGATGAAGAGAGCATGAAGAAATATGAAAACAGAATTAGATAAATATTGATGGCCAGTGGTAGTACAACATTTACAAAGATAGCAAATAAATGGAATACAACTTTGATTGGATTAATGACATATTATAGAGAATCAGCTGTTCATACAGAATAATTATTAGATCTGTTAGTCAAATGCGAAAATAAGATATAAACTAGAATTAAGATAGGATTGAATTCTAAGATGCCCTCTCGTTTCCCACCTGTTGTGTTTTACACACCTAAAGAATTGGGTGGTTTGGGTATGTTATCAATGGGACATATTTTGATTCCATAATCAGATTTGAGATTTTCAAAATAAACTGATACAGGCATTACTCATTACAGAGCAGGTATGAGCCATGATGAGGATTAATTGATTCCTAATCTATATAGATATATCTAAACTTGGGAAAGTGAATTTATAGACAGTCAAAGAGTTTGGGCTGAATATGCCTTAAAGCGATAAGAAGCATAAGTATAAAACAGGAGATTGACTTTGGATGATTTGGAAGATAGTTGGGATCATGGTATTCCCAGAATCAATACATTGTTNGTTGAACCTTTAGAGAAGATCACAGATGCCTATCTAGATTAATATTTGTTTTATGAAGCAGATAAAAGAAGACTCTTCCCTAATTGGATCAAACCAAGTGATAGTGAACCACCTCCTTTATTAGTATATAAGTGGTGTTAAGGAATTAACAATCTTCACGGAATATGGGATGTATCGGATGGTTAATGCGTAGTGTTGTTGGAAAGCAAATTTGAGAAGGTTTATGAAAAGATCGATCAAACATTATTAAATAGATTGCTGAGATTGATTGTTGATCACAACATAGCAGATTATATGACTGCCAAAAATAATGTTGTCATCACTTACAAAGATATGAATCATACAAATGTTCATGGTGTTTTACATGGAATTCAATTTACTAGTTTCATAATGTAATTTTATGGTATGGTTTTGGATTTATTGATTTTGGGTTTAAATAGAGCCTAAGATTTGGCTGGTCCATATAACAATCCTCATGAGTTCATGACTTATTCTAATATTTAATAGGAAATCAGACATCCAATTAGATTATATTGTAGATATATTGATAAGATATTCATGGTATTCAGATTTACAGCTGAGGAGGCAAGAGAATTAATACAAAGATATTTAACAGAGAATCCAGATCCTAATAATGAAAATATTGTTGGATATAATAATAAGAAATGCTGGCCTAAAGATTGTAGAATGAGGTTAATGAAACATGATGTAAATTTAGGAAGGGCTGTCTTTTGGGATATCAAAAATAGATTGCCAAGATGTTTAACAACATTGGCTTGGGAACATTCTTTTGTTTCAGTTTACTCGAAGGACAATCCCAATTTCTTATTTAATATGTGTGGATTTGAGGTGAGAATCTTACCTAAGATAAGAGGAACTCAAGAAGAATTCTCAGAAAAGGATGGTGTTTGGAAATTACAAAATGAATCAAGTAAGGAAATAACTGCTGTTGCATTTTTAAGAGTGGATGAAGAGAGCATGAAGAAATATGAAAACAGAATTAGATAAATATTGATGGCCAGTGGTAGTACAACATTTACAAAGATAGCAAATAAATGGAATACAACTTTGATTGGATTAATGACATATTATAGAGAATCAGCTGTTCATACAGAATAATTATTAGATCTGTTAGTCAAATGCGAAAATAAGATATAAACTAGAATTAAGATAGGATTGAATTCTAAGATGCCCTCTCGTTTCCCACCTGTTGTGTTTTACACACCTAAAGAATTGGGTGGTTTGGGTATGTTATCAATGGGACATATTTTGATTCCATAATCAGATTTGAGATTTTCAAAATAAACTGATACAGGCATTACTCATTACAGAGCAGGTATGAGCCATGATGAGGATTAATTGATTCCTAATCTATATAGATATATCTAAACTTGGGAAAGTGAATTTATAGACAGTCAAAGAGTTTGGGCTGAATATGCCTTAAAGCGATAAGAAGCATAAGTATAAAACAGGAGATTGACTTTGGATGATTTGGAAGATAGTTGGGATCATGGTATTCCCAGAATCAATACATTGTT